AACAAAAGAAAAATTCAGAATGAACCAAACAAATGCAGGATTACAATGACAAAACAGAAAGTGAACACATTGGGCTTAACAAACCAGACTAATGAAACAGAGGTGATACACATGAGGGCAGAGGTGATACACATGAGGGCAGGTAATCACACAACAGGAAGTACAACTAAAGGAGACACACATTTTTAAAATAAACAGCAAATAAACTTGAACCGTGACATAGAAAGTCTCCAGCAGTTGTCCCTGCACACACTTTTCAGCACATTAATAAACAGAACTATATTTTACAAAATAAAGTCTCAGTACGGACCAAGACCAGACCCACACTAAAATGAGACCTGGCCCTAAACCAGACCCACACTGAATCCAGACCTGAACCAAAACCAGAACCGAGATCAGACCTGGACTAGCCTGGTCTTACCACACCATCGTACAAATTTCATTGCGTACTAAGATCTGGATTTGTTCCATTGAGCTCAATTAAATGTGGGAGGGGTTAAAAGAGGGCTATCTTTATTAAAAACTATTCTTTTCCCTGATAAAACACATCAAAAACACGCATTTCCTAACTCAACAATGTGTTTTTGTTATTGATAATTAACAAATCAGTAAAACATTTTTTCAATATAAACGCCTCTGATTGGTGAGAAAATTGATGACGTAGTTGTAGGGGTTGAAACTCCGGCTTTAGTGTTCACGTCATTGCTTAAATTGGGTGTATTTTGCATGGCCGCAATAATCCAGAGAAGGTGACTGTCCCAACCAAACTGAGGAGAGGACACCAGCGTGAGCTCGATGGTGCCACCCGAAATGAGAGCTTCCAATCTTTATCCAAAAACAGTATGTCCAAGTTCAACCCAGCATTCAGCATTTAACACAATGACTGTCTTCATGGTTCACTCTCGAGATATGACACATAACATCAACACTACTTTAGCTGTTTTTGGACTTCAGAACCACAGTATAAGACCAGATACTTTTGCATTTGATTGAAGACGTACACTCACCATTTTTCTCAAACTCAACATCTGGATCTGCGACAAGGCAGAGTTAAGGCTTCTCTACCGGTGTAGCTGGTGTTTGCCAATGTATGTAAATTGTATCCATTTTCGGTTCTGCCCACTTTTGCTGTTGTGATTTTTCATTTCACGGTAGTCACTTTTAAGCTTCTTAATTTTTCTCTGCATTGTGATGATGTCCGTGGTTATCCATTCCTTCGTTCTTAGTGCTACCTCCACAACCACTCTCATCTCGGGTGGAATCATTGAGCTCACGCTGGTGTCCTCTGCATCCACAAACCAGGTAGAGTCGAGTGGAGCTGAGTAAAGTCGAGACATCACTTCTGGTCTAGACATCAGCGGCCATTTTTCTGCAAACTTTTTTGCGTAACGTTTATTGATAGAAACCACTAAAGATGAAAATGAGATTTATTTAACACCAAAAAAGACCACAAGATACCAACATAATGAGAATAGGTCCCTTTTATCTCCTTTTGCAGATTTGGATCTGAGTTAACTGTAAAGTATATAATGCGCCCGAGTGAGTCACTAGCATTTAGCATTTTGCCTTGCATCTCCTGTGCCACTAACGGGACCCGTGGGGAGTAGAGCCACAACATCTTTTCCAGCAATGAAATCTGCTAAACATTCCTCTTGCTCCCGCTTCCATTTCTTGATATTTTGGAGCCGAACCAGAGAGGACTACATGAATACAAATGCATTCGTTGCCATTGCCAAACTACAACCAGCAAATCTACGCAAAACTCTTGACATCACCAACAACTATCTCCAACACCCGCCTCCCCCGCTCGCTGATTGGTTGGACGGGATACAACTGAGTTAACTGTAGACACTGAGAGCAGACTCAGACATACATGTAGGGAAATAATAATTGACTGGAGTTTACGAATGGCTAAGGCTGGCCTGGGGCTGGACCAAACCCAGACCAGAAACAAGATTCAAGACCAGACCTGGTAAAAAACAAGATTGGTACCAAAACCAGGCCCAAGACCAGACCCAGACCCAGACCATTCCTAAGCCATTCCTTGACCAAAATCAGACCCAAACCAAAACTAGGCCTGGACCAAATCCAGACTCAAGAACATACCCCAGACCAAGACCTGACCTGACCAAACTAGACCCAGGTCAAAATCAGACTTCACACATAAACTAGACCCAGACCAAGATCAGACCTGGCCAATGACCAAACCAAAGACCAGACACAGGAAATAACCTAGACCAGGACCAGTTAAAACCAAACTTGGACAAAATCCAAATCCGGGCCGAGACCAGACACAACTAATACAACAACTTTTATCTTAAATAGTTTTACCACTACTGCTACTACTCCCCCAAATAGGCCAAATTATTCAACTATTACTACTACCTCCCAAACACTACCAGAAATACCTTTGAAACAGTGGTGCGAAGACAATAGAACTGTATGTCTATCAGTTCTAGGATTTGTATGCCTTTTATTTTTTTGGTTTTAATCCAGAGGTGAGCAAAGATACTTCCTGTTCCCTTGTACTTTGGAATGTAACATGTTCAAATGTTATTCCATAAAGATGAATAAAAAGATAAAAACACTGATACATTTGGATGCAGGATGGTCCAGACCTAACCTGGTTGTACCACACCATAGTACAATTACATTTTGTTAACAGGTGGGAGGGGTTAACGCCTTTTGCAGATTGAAACGATTGGATCTGAGTTTACCGTTATGTAATGCGCCCGAGTGAGTTTTTAGCATTTAGCCTTTAGCCTAGCCATCTCCTTTGCCGCTAACGGAGCCCGTGGGGAGTAGCGCCGCAATCTTTTCCAGCGATTACATTTGCTAAACATTCCTTTTGCTCCAGCTTCAATTTCTTGATAGAACCAGACCGGATTACTTTGCATTTTTGTCATTGCCAAACTACAACCTGCCCGTTCGGTGCAAACTCTTGACGTCACCCACTACTAACTACAACACCGGCCTCCCGCGCTCTCTGATTGGTCCAGACCCAGACGGTTACATGCAGTGAAATCATGATTGAGCGGAGTGTACGGATGGCTAAGGCCAGGCTAACTCCTCTGAGTCTAAATAAACTATATACATATATCCATGTGACTTTGTATGGTGACTGATCTTTGTTTAGAAGCGAGAGTTGACTCTGTTATGTAAAGCCCCACCCTCCTCATACTTACATATTTTTGAGGTGTGCCCACTGGCGCATTGCCACTGTTCCAGACACACACCTTACTCACACCCAGAACTCATTCACTCACAATCTTTCAAGACTTAAGTCGCATGCTATTGTGGTTTCACAACTTTTACATTATAGGCACTCCTTGTTTCCCAATCGGCTAATGTTTACTCATTCTGCCTTTATTTACCCATGCCAAAATGGTGAGCCAAAAAATCCCCCATACTAACCCTACTTAAAAAATACTGTAAAAAATGAAATAAAAGTAGAAAAACAGTGAAGGACTAATATACCCCCATGGACGGAAAGGCTATGCAGATGAGCCCAGGACCAGGACTGACGCACATTTATTTTGTAGACCAATTCATATTTTAATAGTTTAATTTTCTTTTCCTATTGGCAAATTATCAATTTTGTAGATTCCTTAGAAATAACTGCTGTTGTGATTTTGGGTTGAACAAAAAAAATTAACAAAATAATAATAACTTGAAAAGCCCGGCAAAGTTGAACTGGCCAAACAATTATATCACTTATCAGAATGAAATATCACAATAATATAAATTGCACTTCACAATATACAATAAATAGCACTAATGGGGAAAATCTTCAACTGCACAACTTTAATAACCTTGCTCACGTAAAATGTGTGACACCCTAAAATTAAAATCTAATTGTGAAATCCCAATATTGCAGCACAAGTTTAAAACATTTAAGCTTTGCAGCCTCAACATTATGGTAAGGAGAGACCACAAGGGGCCGCACACATATGATAAATTCACATTATGATGTATACATTTGGAAAAAACCCTAATTATCTTATTGTGTACAAACAGTACTGCAGTATATTCACTTTAAAAATTCACTATGTTCTTGTTAATATTCAGGGATTATACTCTTGGGCTCCCTGTTTGTTTTCTTTTCAGCCTTGTGATCCTTTACCTTAATTTTTGGCTCACCGTTTTGAAAGGTACTAAAGTCTTGTGTTCCCTTGTTTCGCACCGGCTTTCGATCTTTGGGTGTTACATCAGTGCATTTGGAGTAAACTCAATTACATGTTTTGTCTAATGAATATTTTATCAACCACATTGCTGGACTGTCCCATACTGACATCTGAATTTGTTTTCTGGAGGCATTATGTTTAATATTGAACATAGCTCTTTGCCGCACACATGGTATGATTTGTCCATGGACGACATGAATAATACGTGCTTTATGTTGTGCATGTGGAAAACAATAAAAGTGTGCAGGGATTTCTATTCCCATTGTTGCTCAGAACACTGCTGATACATCTGTCTTTGACTATTGGTGCGAACTGTCCCTGGCAGCTCAAAATTGACGTATGGACACACACATAGTAACCTGCAGGGTGGTTTATTTTGTTAGAAAGGATATTCATTAGAAGAGTAAAAGAGAGTGACATTATATTACTACTTACAATCCAAATCCCTCAAGTTACATGCATACTTTCAATTAAATACATTTCTTTTGTAGAATCCTAAATCATAACAGAGGTCTTTACAAAGTAATCGATTCTCCAACACAGACCAGAGAATCAAACAGTTTAAACACAATGCAATGATGAAAAAGAGATGACCAATGTTCATAAATGTAAAACTTAAAATACTTAATGCGCACATTTGTTTTGTATTCTTGTTGCATTTTCAGTTCCCTGAAACTGAAATGAAGCGCAAGAGCGCTGTGCCACTGTGCCGCCAATATAGCAGTAGAACAGGTACCTGTATTTATGTTCCTAATAAACTTCTTCTTTTCTTTCACCTGCAGGTTTGGCTGGGGCCTTTAAAAAAAGTACAAGAACATGGTATGTAATTTTGTAATTCACAAGTGTCAAACATGTCCTATGAGACCATTTTTTGTTTAATTTATAATAATTGCAAACATTGATGTAAGAAGTCAGCATGGGCTACCAGAACAGGTCATAGAGTGGAATATTCAAAGAATATTTAACCCTAACGCTAAATATTTTTCATCTTTGTTAAACACAGTTGACAATATAATTCTAGTATGAAAACAAAATGCATTTTTAATTTATCTCAAGAAAAACTCAGGCATGTCTCAGTCACCACACTCTTGGTCCAAAAACACCAGGATATTCCCGTGATTATCATGCCACGGAGAAAAAAGGAAGATCTTTTATTTTGTATTTATTTATTCTTTTGACAGTGACAGTACATTTTTACATTGCCACCAAAAAGTAATCAATATCAAAGTAAATAGGGTTAAGAGCCAGAATCAAATCCCGTTCCTGGTTAAGTTTTTAAAGAACAGAAACACATAAAAGTATAATAAAGACAAAGCTAAGAAAAACACTTTTTTCAATCAAACATGTTTGGTTTGGTTTAGTTTAGTTTTCTGGAGAAAAGGCTGATGAACTGATCAACTGTGACTTAAGTTCCAAAGCTAGCTAGTTTTGTTCTCCTGTTGAAAAGAGGGAAGTTTGACAGAAAACTCCAGTCTCAGATAAATACGTCAATGACTTAAAGCTGCACTAACTGACTTAGGGATTTTGAAGCCGTGGACTCGCTGGCCTCTCTCTTTCTGCTCCCCTCCCCGCACCCACGAAGCTATCGCCCCCCACACACACCCACTGTTGGGACGGAGCTAGCGTCTCCCAATATGGATAATACATGGACATGGATTTGCACGTGGATGGCGTGACCATAAAACGATAGAACCGGGAAGCGCGGAGGAATGGGACTTTCTTTTGGATGGCTGTTTCGCTAAGTCAGCAGTAACTGGTGACGAAGACGAGGAAGCTTCATGTTAGCTCCTCGGCTTGTTGTGCTAACTCAGCTGTCTGTGCTAACAGACCTGTAGATTTCTCACGAAAGTGGGGGCCAGTGGTCCGTTGTGATTGGTCACAATCTGCGACCCGAAACACATTCTCTTCCTTGTTTCATCAAAACTCAATCTAAAATATAATGTCACGCCAGCACAAATCTGCGCTAATTATTATTCAAAAGGACGTATATCCCAATGCACTACATGGACATGGATAGCATTTTCGTAATTAATACGAAAATAAAGTCAGTTAGTGCAGCTTTAAGTTCCAAAGAGCCAGTGAGCCACATCAGTGGCTAATCCTTTATGACATTATTTTAAGACTAGATGTTTCAAAGGAGAAAGGAGACGTCAATTCAGATATTTCTATCATATCATGTCATCGTAATCACATTCATGGTTCAACTCCAGTCAATAGAAGTTACACAAACAAAAAATATATGAATGTTTTGTTAATTATACTGCAATCGTAAGTACATACTAGGAGATCAATAATGAATCTGCAATAATAGTTAGTAAAGGATAAACCCTTCAAACTTTGTCAAATTAATAAATAATGAGCCGTGTAGTACTTCTCGTCTACATTAAGTCTAAGTATTGAAAATCACAAACCTCATTGATAAAAACTGCAGTACATAAATGTGTTTGACCCTTTAATTGTTTAATGTGTTTTTTTCCCACTTATTGTTAATCATCAGGAGATTGAAGAATCAAAGCACAACAGTAATGAGGACGAGCCAACGACACCTCAGCTCATATCAGCCTCACCAAATCCTAAATACCAACTTTTTCTCAACAATGAAGTGAAGACCAACGGCACAAGCTCCAGAGAGCAGGACATGAGCTTGAACAGCGGCACAGCAGGGGGTGAGAATGGATCCAGACCACGCTGGGAGAGCAGCAGGCTGGGGCTGAACAACTACAGAGGCTCCCTGGAATCACTCTCGTCACGCGACTGGGACGTCACATCAGACCGGGTGAGACTCTTTGCTTGAAACTCACTCAGTAAAATTTAGCTTTCACTGCATAAACAATACCTAGGTAGGTTCAAACAACTTGATTTACTAATTTCCCTGATCTGCAAAGGGACTCGCCACTTCTGAGTGCATGTCAGTCGCCATTCCCACTGATTACATGTGACCGTCAAACTCCTGAGTCTGTACCCCGCTTATTTTACCAATTTGTAATTCTTTTTCTATCAAAGGGGTGGCTAACTAGTCAGAAATCTTCAGACGATGTCCTGTGAAGAGCCACATGGTGCCACAAGCTCCTGGGATCAAACTGCCAAATTGACATACAGTATTTCTATTAACGAATATTTAAGATAAATTATATTACCATATAATAAATACAGTTTTGGCAACCTGGATCACGGCCTGTCTGATTGGTAAAATGGTGGAGGGCGGAACATCAAAATTAAAACAATAACAAGATTTAGGGGCTGTAAAACTAATTTTGTTTTGAAATTAAAATATCTATATAGCTGAACTAAGGTTATCAGTTGAATATTTTTTGGAAAAGAGCATGGTTTATGAATGTCTTTTGACAGATTAGGGCCATTTAATGACTTGACATGAAAATCTTACATATTGTTACTTTAACTCATGTTGTGTGAACAGCCCCAAAGGGAAACCTCACTTACATTCATTTGCGTCTCATTGTGATGTATTAAAGTGCAGGTCTTAAGGTACAGTAGACTTGTAGTTGGTTAGTCATTGTAATAATGTTCTCTTGTTTGTGGTGCAGGGGGGATTTATGGACAGCTCCCCCAGAGTCTTCAACAGTCCCTACTCCACTACTGCTTCTGTGGACTACAATCCTACATATCGAATGTCGGAGTATAAGGTCTGTGCCAGAGCCACATCGTAGCATCCAAAAATGATCTAGAATATAACATACCATAGGAATTGGTCTAGAGTATAATGCATGTCCGGCTCTCAAAGTTTTTCAATGTTTCATTTTTCTAGGGGTCGGCATTGAGTCAGAGTGCATCCCTTGAAAAACATTAGCTTCCTCTATTACTACATATTGGCTCAGGCAAATAATATATTTTATGATTGTGATTATGAACAGGCTATAAATAGTTATGTTTCATGCTTGTAATGTACAACGTGGATTGTGCTTCTAAAAAAAATGAAAGACGAGCATGATTGCCTGATTGACTAGGCAGCAGCAGCCAAGAAAATACATCTAACATGTCCTTCAAAAGACATTGTTTTTTTTTTTTACTTTTTTGAATCATAGAATATGCCTGTGTGTTCAGCAGTGATTGAGAGCAATTGTGTGTGTAATTCCAGGTACAAGGCAGTTTGTCTCCGGCTACCTCTGATATGAACTTGTATAACCGCAGCATTAGCCCAGTGCCTTCTCTGACCATAGGCGCAAGCCGCACGCGCTTCTCTACTTACGACACTCTCAGACGCAAGACTGAGTTAAGCGCTGCAGTAAGGCCAAAAATCACACCATTTAAAAGATTTCTATAATGAAAATTCACCCAGACTCATTTTAGAATGTCTTATTTTTACAGGTGCTCCCGTCGACACACTATTCAGTGCGCTCAGTAACCCTTGGGCATCCAAACAAGAAAGATTACATTGAGGAGCTGACTAAAGAGCTGGATGCCTGTCAAAAGGTGATCATTCTGCATTCTTTAAAGGATCTATACTGTAATGATTTTTTACATATTGTGTTAAGTTATTCATGAGTCATTTGATTTTGAGTAAAGGCCAATACGTCTTAATCCAATACATTAAAAAAAGCACCTTAAGGTAACAATTACCATTTAAACTGAGCACTTTGTGGCATAGCTTGAACAATGAAGTAATGAATTGTAAAAAATATTTGTATTGTTCACTAGTCAGAAAAGTTTTCTGACTAGTGAACAATACCCTAGTACTGAGATTATGACTATAATATTTCTAGGTCTCTAAACATTAGCTTTTGGCATTTTGTATTTTAATGGGAAATGGTTTGGTTTAAAGGTGATCTATGTAATTTTTGTTCCCAGCGAAACCAGTTTTTGGAAGCAGAAAGTGTGGAGATGGAAAAGGAAAGAAATCAGATACGGTCAGCAGAAATTTCTGGTCTATTTTTACTTAAAAAAACATTGCTCCATTGTTAGATCAATGAAGTTGTATCTTATCTCATATTCAAATGTTTTAATACACCAGTGAAAATCTAAGTAAAATACACTCAAAAAAAGATGCAGGCCTGCAGTGTAAAACATATACAGATATTTTATTGGATTTTTTGTGAAAGAACACAAAGTGGGAGAAAACTGAAATCAAATTCAATTAAAGAGGAAAAAAATAAAAGCGTGGCTCGCAAACATATTCATCCCCTTGGGGCAATCAATGAAGTAGTTGCTTCATTGAAGGGTCTATGGTGAGAAAGAGTCAAGAGTGTAATCTAATCTCAGTATGTAGCATCGCACAGCTGTTGTGCGAGATGAGGTGCTGGACACTTTTAAAGCACATAACATGAACATGTTGGAGGGCAACATTTAATCAATCAGTCATTGACTGCAAACAGACCAAAGACAACAAAAATCAGAGATGCGGACATGAGGCCCAATGGTGACCCTGGGTTCGTTCACACTTTAGTCCCAAGTGAACCAAGTAAGGCTTAAAAACAAAACCTCCCCGGCTGATGCCTGTTTTCACTAACAACAACAACAACCAACAACAACAATAACAACTTATTCTTGTATAGCCCTAAATCACGACAGAAGTTATCTCTGACGACTTAACAAAACCATTGAAATCACCAACACAGATCAGAGAATCAACAGTTAAGACACAAAAAATAAACATATGTATTGGTCCATAGAGAGAGACCAATGTCCATGAATGTTGATAAATGTCCATTCATGTTGTAGAATGTTAAAGTGTCCTGGATCATCAATGTCCTTCTTGTTGGACACTAACTGTCCAGCAGACCCTCATGCATCGGTAAGGAAAAACTCACAAAAACCCAGTGGGAAAAAAAGTGAGAAACCTCGGGAAGACCCACATATTGAGAAATGGATCCGCTCCACACGGACGGACGGGCTGATGATCCAGGACCTAAGCTACAGAACGAGGACCAATGCCACGCAGGACGTGAACAGGTCTGGTGCAGGACTGAAGTTTTCCCAGGCGGGTCGGGCAGGACAGTCCGCATGTGCAGATGGAGGAGGCCAGGTTCAGAAGTCCCGTTGTCGCGCCACGAAACAGACAATGGGACAATGGGTGAATAGCAATGAACAAACTGCAGTCAAAATCTTAATGATGATAAAGTTACCATACTTCTCCCAGCAAACTGACTCCCTATGCAGCTTGACTGATTGTCTGAGGAGTTTTAGTCTTCCCTGAGTCTTACCTTCCTAACCATATACTAAACTGAAGAGGACTCTTTTAAGCCTGGCCTTGAATATAGAGACCGTGTCCGAACGAAGGTGAGACAGCAGCAGCCACGGCTAGGCTAGCCAAGGCTACAACACCAAAGATTCGTGAATTACACACGAAGTGTGTAAATCAAACCAGACAAACAACCTAACCATATGCTAGATTAAAGTAGAGTGTTTTAAGCCTGGCCTTGAATGTGGAGACCATATCTGCTTCCTTAACATGAATGGGAAGCTGATTCCACTGCTAAACCTGAGACTAGGAACCTAATTGGTTCCTCCAGGATTCCACAAACTCCGTCTCCATTCTGACCCCCGGAGAAATTGCTTTGTAGTGTATGTCAAAGGTTCCACTTTGCCGAGATCTGCTCTACCGAGCTCCATCACAGATTATTAATGAATAAATAAATCCATAAAACATGAGGCTGACTGTAGACATCACTGAGCATGTACCATCCCATACTACGAAATGTTGAAGTACCTGGGATACTTCTGTCAACCTGCGTCCATCAGATCAACCCCCACAGTTCAGACTGCGTTCTAGACAAAAGACAATGAGAAGGTTCTCCTACTTTACAAAGTAAATGCAGGCTGTAATGACTTTATATTCAACAGATTCCTGATAATTTGAGATATAAAGCAGTGTAGCTTTGATAATCAGGCTTGGCTTGCTGCGAACTCTACTCCTCCAATGTCACTCAACTGATGGGCTCTGTAAGATCCAGCAAAAGCTAAGGTGCCATGGTAATATGAAGGGTGCATGCATCCAAAGGTCTTCCTATAGCACCAAAAAAGTAATCATCTGGGCTTATTAAAAGCAAGTCTTGCACGTAAGTTGCATGTTTATGTGCTGTAGACATGTTGGCATAAAGCATAAAATGATGACTATGCTAACTGTGGCTGTGTAATCCACTTTAAAGTAATAGTAGATCATTTTAAGGTAGAAAATCATCTGCATGATTCCATGGATAATTTTTAATCCAATCAAGGCCTTCCTTAAAATTACCAAATAATTCTATGGCTACTAATTACTTTATGGTTTTAAATGAAACTAATACAACAATGTGTGAAATAGTAACAACAAACTTCGGGTTTGTATTTTAATTTTTTATCATGGGTTGGGATTTGACGTATCAGAAGTTCAACTATACTCATTATAATAATTATCTAATATAGCATCATTAAGGAATGGGGATGTGCTCAATTTGGGGATGGGGATGTACACACATTTTGAAGCTATGTAATCAAATCCATGTAACTAGTTCCCACTTTTCAAAACATTTGAATTTCTATCACTAGTTTACACATGCATTTGTCTTCTATCTGTTATCTACTCGTTCAAACTCACTCTACCAATCTGCAACTCTCATTCCAAACTGGCATGCTTCACGAGTGACTTACTGATCCTAGACTGGTTCTGGTTCTGAGCAAAGTCAGCTTTGTTATCCACCAGAAATGAGCAAGTGCTAGTTACCATAGCAACACACTGCTTACTTGGCAGTAGTTAGCATCTGACAGCCTTTCTACAAACAGTATTTTCTGTATTTCATGTGTAAATTACCTACATTCTTGGGAATTTTTCAAAATGCTAAAGATTTGAATGGGAGGAGCGAGAATAGTTTCAGAGTATTTGTAGTCCTTATGTTAAGAAATACTTGCGGACGACTGTGCGCCCAGCACTGGTGGTGACCCCTGTTTTAAGCCATGCTCGGCAAGATTAGACATAGCTTTTAAAAAAAGAAGGCTTAGGGTGCTGTAAGCCCACTCTCAGCCATAGTAAACTTTTACACTTTATTCCCCCTTAATTTATCAATTTGACGTCCAGGTTTGAAATGCGTGGCCTGCTGGTGAATAACGAGGACCTTCTGAGAACCAATACTCAGCTGACCAATGAGATCAAGAGGACAAGAGAACAAATGTTGGAGATGGAAAAAGAAAACCAAGCCATGGCTGAGCGCTGCCGGGAGATGGAGGTCAGTCCACAGTCCTCAAACTTTTGTTTTTCTTTGTCATGTAGTTTAGGTGTCCACAAGCTGATTGTAATAGTTTAAAAAGTGAATGTGTGAACGTTCAAATGTATGTTTTGAATAACAAAAATTTGTGTTTATACGGAAATAGCTATGTCGGTATTTCATGTTTGAGAATGTGGAATCAATTCTTAAACAGAAAATATACATGTAATATTGTTCCAACCATTTTATTTGCAACAGCAAATTAACAACAGCAGTCGTCTCAGAGGACTTTTGAAAGTTGTCACTTCGCCAACACAGATCTGAGATTCAAAACATTCAATCACAGGAAATGCAATAATGCATTCTAAACAACAAGGATGTTTTTGACGTTTTTCATTTACTTCCTACCGGGTACTGTACTAGTTTTATGACAAAACTTCATATACATTTAACCGTTTTAATTCCATTCAATTAATGGGTCATTATTCACACACAGCAGAAGTGGTGGATCAGAAATGTGAGGGGATCTGGAGAGAAGAATGAGCTTAATAATTTCATTGACATTTTGTTTCCTCTTTTACAGACTGAAGTGAAACAAGCCAGAGAGATCATGGTAGAAGCCAACAATCAGGAATATGCCTTCAATTTCCTCCAGCAATCATTAAAAAACCAGATCCAAGATACAGAGGTAAAGCACAAGTCACAGCCTTGAAGGCCAAGACACACCGACCAGACAAGAGCCAAAAGTCAACAAATCTGCTGACTCTTGTTGGCCCAGGTCGGCTCAAAACCTGTTGCTAGATACGCCGCTCCAACATCAGCCAACTCCATGTTGTGCGAACGTTCTGCGACTGCCTTCTGGTGTGACTGCCAATGAGCAGACCCAACAGCTTTGTCTAACTAGTCACAGCCACATCCAACGTGTCAGAACACACCAAATCACTTTTGTCAATGTACTGTATCTATGTCCATCCATCCATCCATTTTCTTCCCCTTAATCCATTTCTGGGTCGGGGGGGTGGCAGTCAGAGCTTCACCCAGTCCACAGAGCACCAGCCCCTCACTGATCCTCCTGTAGGTGGTGAGTCCACAGGAGCTGTGATCTTTCAGTTGGGGCTTTGGGCAAAGTAGGGTTAAGTGTCTTGCCCAAGGACACAACGACAGCAGTCATCAGTGGGAGTCGTGAAGTAGGTCTTACGGTGGGCTCGAACCCACGACCTTCAGGCCCAACGGCCAATGCTCTACCAACTGAGCTACTGTCGCCCTATCTATGTATAACTATAAAATACAACAGCAGTCGTCTCGGAGGACTTCAAATAATTGTCAATTCGACAACAACATACAGTGAATGCAATAATAACAATTGGAGTCATTGGTTGCCCGGGAGCCAAATATCCTATGTTCATAGATGTGCATAAATGTCTCTCCAAAAACTCCAGATGTTCAACCATCTGGTTGGAGCATCTCAGTCTAAACATCCACATAATTTTGAGTAGCCATGCAAAAACCTATGTACTAAATTATTGAGTGATACATCTTTGGAATTACAACAGCATTATAAAAATAAACTTTAAAAAGAACACGAGGCCAGTGCAATTTGGATACATTGTGTTCTATGTATGCTGGATAACAGACATCAACTTTGGAATTAACTGAACATTTAAGCAGTCGTTGGAGAGTTTGTATAAAATAAAAAGCATGAATCCCCTGTTCCAGATCACTGAAAGATAAAAAACAACATTTCAAGTTGAGATAAAAGCCAAAGGTGATAAAAACTGGATTTAACCAGTGCTGTTTAACCAGTGCAATCTGTTTATCAAGCTTAACGTTTTTGTCAGTGATGGTCTCAAATTCGGTGGCCAAACGTTCAATGGAATGGTGAAAAACAACAACCCGGCACATTTTGATGCAGGTTGGAATTGGAAAGTGTAAACAAAGACATATTTAAAAATGGCTCCTGTAATAAGTGTGCATAGGTGAAAGGTCTGTATGTATGACATAAATGTCAAAGGGTATGATGGCTGAATTTATTGTGACTCACAGACCAGTCTTTCCAAACACTGGCAGCATATACTAAGCACATGATTTGTCCTCTCTGCCCAACAGGAGAACCTGGAGAAACAGACGCAGCATGCACAGACGTTATCTGAGAAGCTGTGGCGTGCAGAAAGACAACTAGAAGAGTTTGAACTAGACAGAGACTCCAAGGAAAAGAAGACATCTGACTTAAACAGTACTGTGCTGCGACTGGAGGATGAGGTGCAGCTAAAAACATTACGCTTTTACAAATTTAAAATGTTTTTTTACAATTATCTTATTTTGACTTATTGAATCGACAAACATCTATTTTAAAGATAAATAGATGTACAAAAATAACACCTGTTTTCTGATGAAAAGTTACAAAATGAAATCAGAATTCTTTAGTAACAAGAAGTCACAAACTCGGAAATTGCCATGGCTCTCAGTGCAGAGAATAAATAGAATAAGGCATGCATAGAAAACTCTATTTAACGTTTCTTCAAAGTACTACTATATAGCAGCGCACTAGATGCACACAATAGACCTTTAGGAGTGCAGTAAAGTGCCATTAGTGACAGTCACAAAGGGCAGGGGGCAGTGAAAAGTTATTAAGTGTTCATGAGTCGGACTACAGAGTGGAAGAAACTATTCTTATGGCGGGAGCTTCTGGTCCGGGAAGTGATTGAAATAGTCCATGTGTAGGGGGAGAGGGGTCGGCTGTGATATGACCAGCCCGCCCTCGAGTGACGTACAGGTTCTGCAGCAATGGAGAACCTGTACGCTGCTTCCTGTCTGTCAGGAAGTCAGAGCTGAAATCCATAGACAGAATCCCGGCGTAATAACCTGGCATAGTCCAGAGGCTGCAGGATGATATAGAGTGCCAGGTTCATGGCGTTGTCTACAGATCTGTTGGCTGTGTAGGCAAAGTGCAGGGGGCCTAGGAGGACGGAAGTGAAGGATTTGAGATGGGAAAGAACTAGGCACTCAAATGACTTCATGATGAGAATGAATTCCCTCCAAACACATTTTTGCTTGATGAATCACAATAAAAAATGTATACTATGACGTTTTAATTGGAATGATAAATATGTATGTTATGGGTTTTGAGCCTGTTTACAACATGGTGGATTGGTTTGTATTCAGGGAGAAATAGTATAATAATGGCAATTAAGGAGATGTATTGAGAACACTACATATCATGAGGACTGCTTTACAGCAGCAACAGACTTGAAAGAAACGATACATTTTGACAAAACTGCACGGCAAAAATATCCGTGGGTCATTTTGGACTGACGAGCGCCTGCCTGGTGCACGTTTGTGTGCTCCAGCCTGTTTCATCATGCTGTAACTCCTGCTCAATGTGTTCTGTCAGCGTAATCTCAGAAAAATAACCCACAAACCAAGAGCCCACGAGCGCATGCGCTGTCAATGTAGACAGTAGTAGACGAGGTGTGAGCGTTTATGATAAATGATGAGACACTATATGACATTTATAATCTGAGCAACACTACACAAGAACATAGTGTGTAGCAGATGTATGTGCAGTTTGTACCATCTACAATACTTCTAAACTGTCAATGAAATGGGAATAAAGACAACATGGTCATTACTTGATTATGAATCAGGTCTGCATCATGAACCAAATGTGATATTCTGAACACAAACACTACCACAGTAATCCACGGTAGATCGCGGCTCAATGGTTGCTGTGAAAGTAAATATTGGTTTGATAAAGTATAGGCACTCTTGTTTATACACTCTAAAAAGCAGTAGCCAAAGCAGAGATTGAGTAGCCTATATTACACAATCCAAATACTTCATTTTTGAGGGGATTGGATTTATATAAGCTTTTGCTTCATCCAATCCCTTTTCAAATAAAATCTTGGAACAGGGACAATTAATTAATTGCAAATTTACTGTAACATCAATGCGATTAATTGCCATAAAATATTTAGATTGTTTGACAGCACTAGTATAAACAAAAATAAACAAAAAAACATTGTAACTAAATCTTTCGTATTTGTTTCATGGATTTTAAATCTGTGTAAATGTATCTGTTTTATGGATTTTAGTTAACACCCTCAAGTGAGGCAAGGGGAAGATGAAAATATATTTCAAAGGAGGATAGGAAAACCAGGTCTTATTGGGACTTAACATCTCCAGGCCAATTATTGACTTATTCACAGTGTGAAGCATGTTACACTGCCAAATGTTTCTCAGTTGGTGAGTATGAGAATGAAATCTGAAAACAAATGTGGTATGTTTCAGCTGTCGGAGGCTCTGCAGATGGCCTCGCAGGCAAATGCAGAGAGGAACCTCCAGGTGAAACTACGAGAGGACACACAGCTCCGGGTGGATGAGCTGGAGGAAGGACTCCTGGCCAAAGAACAGGAAGCCGACAAACTACAGATTCTGGTCACCAGGCTACAAGGGGAGGTACAACAGTCTTTCCAGAACAAATATCACCCTTTTTTTCTTATTAATTTTAGTTGTTTTAGCATGTGAAATTATGTTCTTAAGAAGAAAAGAAGGCTGTGGGTTCAATTCCATACTAGCCCAAATGTCTGGATTTTTTGTCTCTGAAAAGGGACGCTCAGCAATGATTTTGGAGATAATCCGGATCAGGGTCTCGATCCAGGAATATTCCAAGATGGTAATCTCAGCGAGGTCTGCACTATATGAGTGCTCTTCTAATCTTAAACTAGTAATGCCAAAATATAAGTGGTTGGCACATGGCTGAAAAGAAAATAATTTTGAATGGAGAAATTCCGTAAACTTATTTTGGAGGCATAAAAGGCAGTTTTATTAGGAAGAAAACAGCAAACATAACATGAGGATATGTCAGCGCGTAGGGGTGACATGCGTGTGCCGATTTGTGCCAGAAGTTATTTATATCAGCGTGGATGGCGTGTTTTTGAGGGAACAATGTTGTAACATGGTTGAGATCTCCAAAAATATGTGTCCTCTATCAACAAAATGATCAGTCTGAATATGATCCAAACTGTGGTACACTTAATATTATTTGACATTGCTTTTTGTTATGTGTATGAATGCCTTGTGTATGTCTTAGGTATCTGGGAAGTTAGTGGATAAGGAGCGCTCTCTGGAAGAGGAGATTCAGCTGAGAGAAAGGCTCCAGTTGCAGTGCAAACAGGCTGAGCGCAGCCTTGAAGACCTTCGTATGGAATTATACACAAGCAACCAAAGCCGCGACGAGCTCAGTAAGCAGCTCAAAGTGTTTCAGGTGAGTACTACTTCTTTTTACTCAAGAAAACTACCTACATGCCCTCTAAGTCAACTTAAAAACAGAAAACAAAAAAACATTCCACTCTAAAATTGCAACTTCTCGTTACACATTTTGAGGGGCACGCCTGGAATCAAGCAATTGTTATCTCATCATGACAATAGAAATGTTTTTGTAACAGGAAAAGATTATTGATCTTGAAACTGATCTGGAAGAACTTCATGACAGTGAGCAGCGGTGGGCTTCCAAACACAAGAGAACCCTTGAACAGGCAAGTGCAATCTAATCCTCACAAATCCACTGAGTATTCTACAATTCAGTCACACTGATTTCAAATGTTGCTTACGTTGGTGTGAATATTCTCATATGCGTTGTGGAATGCAAGCTTGTCTGGCACAACCGAGGTGTTATTGTGACAATGGGGCTGCATCTGTAAAAACAGTATAGACCAAATTTTGTCAGGATTTTAGCAGCAATTGTTTTGTGTAAAAAACAAACAACTTAAACTTTGCTAAACCCCAAACTTGACATGACTTTAAAGTGGGGAGTGTGGTTTTAGTACTAATCAGATAGTTTGGTCTATCCTGGTCAATACTGGTATGTATTGTAAAAAAAAAAATGTTTTATTTTTCTCTACATCAATTTCTTTATTCTGAATATGTCTGACCCAAAACTGTTGATTTAGGTGGAACAACATCAGCTCAAGTTTATTCAGGAGAAAGACCTGAGTGAGCAACTTGAAATGGACAAGGACATACTAGAAAGACAGGTTAGAGCACCAAAAGAGACAATCATCTCATTCATTGGTTGGTTTGGAGTGATGCATGACGTTATAATGTCTTTGGTGTTGTAGGTGCGGGAGCTACGACTGGAGGTGGAGGAGCTTCAAAGCTCTAGACTGCAAGAGGATGTCATCACCAGAACTGAATCTAAAGTTAAAGAACTAGAGAACAGTTTGCGAGCAGAGGAGCGGTCAGTCACTTCAAGCGTCACCTCTCATTCACTATTCCCTCACCTCCCCTACATCAGGCTCTCCAGATCACTGCCAGCTAAGTCTTCACCTTTGGGGTGTGCCAAAATATAAGTTATGTTAAATAACCTCTTATCACCTGTGAGATCTGCCAGTGGGTCCCATTTGAATCAATACAGGTCAATCAAAGTCAACACCCGTTGAAGTCAAGGGCCGGGAGATAAATTGGCATTCATGATAATACTGGTGTAATTTTGACCAACACAACCACATTAGCATTTGTGAGTATGCGCGCAGTGGCCCTCTGAAGAAAATATTTGCTTATCCCTTGCAACTATAGTATAACATACTCCCTACATGCACTGCAATAACAGCAAGACGTTAATATCATGTCAAGCGCCACAAAAAATGATGCCACATTTTTTATATCCCTGACCTACGGTTTCACACCTTCTGCCTTCAGGGCACTCATTAGAACCTTTCAACCATCGTTGTTACTATGTTACATTACATACTAACTGGAATGTATTTTTGTTGTCCGTTTGTCTGTGTTATTACACAGCTGGTGTGAGCTGTTAAAAAGCAAATTAGTTACCCTGTGAATCCCCAAGCTACTGTGAGCACTTGAATCATATGCAACTGCCCAACTGCCTGGAAACTCAGACCAAAATGTTTACATGGATTTGGGGAGTCACAGAACAGGGAGGGATAACGATGATGTTTATAGATCCAACATGAGGCCAGCAGAAGCTATCTTCCTTCATATTTGCTTAAACAAACAGCAGCAGTCTTTCAGAATCAATAAGCATCATTTGTCTTATTCATTTCTTCCCGTTTTGTTGTATTTCTGTTGCTCAAAAAACTTTATCGGGTTTAATCAATGCAATGTGAGAGACATTCGTAGCACCCAATAAATGGCTGACGACAATCATAAACCACAGCCCATTAGGAAATGACTAAATGGTTCTTAGACCAAATATTCACTTGTGATTTTTGGTTTGGTGTAAGTCAGGCTAAATACTTTCAAATGCACTAAATATATAATATTGAGAAGTATAGGGTAATACAGCATGCATATGTTTATACACTACATTTAGACCCTTTTTATTCAAGTTGACAATCATGTCATTATTATAGTTTGAGTAATTTTACCAATACTGATACATTAATGATTTATGACTTTGTGAGCAGAAACAAAGGAGTATTGACCAACACCATCAGTAAACTAGAAAGAAAAATTGCGGAGTTAACAGACCAGATGGAAGAGGAGCATCGTATCTCTACGGAGCAGAAAGAACTGGTAATATTCACTATTGATTTATGTTTCACTAATGCATCTGCCTGTTTATCAAAACTCCAATTGTAACTCACTTGTTGACCATAGATGACACAGAGGATGCGCACGTTGAAGAGACAGTTAAATGAGGCGGAGGAGGAAGCCAGCAGAAAGGAAGCCCAATGCCGCTTTGCCCAAAGAGAACTGGCAGAAGAGCGAGAGGCTCGTGAGCGCCTCCAGAGGCAGCTAGTGGACCAGCAACTTCAGGCCAAGTACTATTCACTCTTTTATATCAGATCCGATTCAGATTCCGTTTATTTGCCATTTGCAGTAAAAAAACCACATTGGAATACATTAGCAAAAGTTTCCAGTGTGCACAGACAAATACAGACATAAAACAACATTAAAAGTACAGAAATAAAACAAATAAAACAGTAAACAAATGTCACTGTGAAATCGATCGGCTAAAACAGTTTCAAAACGAGTGCAAATCATTAAAGTGCTCATTATGTATGTGCAGATTTGTTTGTATGTTGGACAAAAATGTGAACCTACTCCAGGTTTTATAGCACAACATGCTTGTTCTCTCCAAGACCTTTTTCATGCCGCTTCTCCACTTTTTTGTTGGAAAAGCGGCATGTTTCAGTTTCTGCAGTGAGGCAGTATCGTTACAACACAACTCCATTTCACTTTATGTTGGGAGAATGAATAAAGGAATGAATGTATCTTTTACTACAGGCGCAAGGAGGCTCTGAACATTCGTCAGACTCTGGACAACCTTCGAGTGGACATAGATGATGATGAGGAGGAAGAGCAATCAAAAACAGAAACTGTTACTAATGTCTAGAATAGCTGTATCTGCAGAAACAGAAGAGAATACAACCAGGATTCTGGGACCATTTATCAATACCAAACGAGAAGCCCATATCTTAACAAAAGTATGTGTATGTTTACACATTTTTGCCAAACTTAGTAAATGTAATTTATGCCTTGGTGAAGAGGACCCTTTTAAAAGATAACCTTAGTGATGTAAATATTATTTCTGTCAGATACTGTAAAGCTTCTACAGTATGTTTAGCTATCGGGGTAAGCTTTTCACACCGTTTACCTTTCAACAATCCGTTTTCATGGGGGCACTGGTATGACCTGAATTCAATTCATTATTGTTTGATACATAGTATTGATAAATATTGTAATATTTACAGTATTTATCATGTTTGTTTACTTATCTTAATATACACAAACTAACCTAAATGTCATAAATATATATGGGCTCCATCCATGTGTTCTACTGCTGATTGTGTCCATGCCTCAAGGGTCAATGTTCAAACAGCTGTAATAAATGGGTTCCTTTAGCTGTAATAAATGGGTATTATTTCTGTCACAGCAAATATCAACATGATGATTATTTCTAGGGAAGTTGGATACTTGAATGAATATGTGTCACACCTTTTCTCACAGAGCAACTGAGAGCTCAACTAATGGGCCTTTCTCTTGAGCCCGGCTCAGCACGTTTCAGTTAGGGTGTGTGGCCATGGACATTTCACATTTACATAAGGATAGAGCAGGACCTTCTGGGGAGGGGGCATCCACGCTTGAGCAACACTCCTCCTGGGGACATAGGTGATGGGAGATTGTACTGGAGGCAGTTGTGATGTGTTTAACAACTAACTAGAATATTTAACTTTGCAAAACATTGCTTGTCTGTAAAAAAATGTGAAAACATCCATCTATAAACCGAAACCGCAGGAGAAACACCATCCATCCAGAAAACACTTCTGTTACCTCTGCTCTCAAAGCTGAATCCAGATCATAAGAAGTTGTGTCTACAAATCAACACACATTTCTCATTGTGGCAATAAAGCAAGGTCCTTGTGGTCCAAGATGGAAACTCCTTAATGTTTAGCCAGTGCTTGTTCTGTCCAAGTATCATATGAACATTTCTCTACACATCAAACTGAAAGTGAAACTTCAGTGCATGTAAGTTACGCTTTTGAAAATGTATATAAAATACTTTTTTTCTGCATATTGTGCTGTTCGTATATGTCAGTCATGTGAGACGTTAGTGTGGGAGAGGTGAGAAGCCATTATAGTCTGAGTCGGGCCCATGTGAGAATGCCAAGGAATAATTTTCTCAGACAGTACCAAATGTGTCACATTTCACATTGAATATAATCATTTTTATTACATCGTTAGAATAGCTAACACAACTTTATATCTAATGAATTATTTTAACTAGAGCAGCCATTCTCCTGTGGACTCACCACCTGCAGGAGGGTCAGTAAGGGGCTGGTGCTCTGTGATTGGGTGCAGTTCTGATTGCCACCCCAACCAAGAAATCAACTAATTGGTCAAGATAGACAGAATAGGTAATTTTCACTAGAAATTAACGAATGGGTAAATGTATCACTTGTCACTTGAGGCACATTATTTTTAGAGTCTGTTCTTAGCAGGGCTCAGTGTGAATCTGTGTGTGCTTGAAGGCTTTGCTTCCTTGTTATGCTGCTCCATTTTTATTTGTTGTGCTGCACCACATTGCATCTTCTGTCAGAACTGTTACTACAAGTTTTCAAAGGGGTTTCCTGAACTTTATCACACGTATGCTGAACTTTTGACATTGAAGGGTATTTAGGGAGATGCCAACAGAGCTTGTTCATAGTTTGGGTTAAGTTTTTTTCCCCAACTTTTCCAACTTTTTGCAAATTTTCCATGATAAAAAAACATGCATAGACTACAGTGAAAATCTGAGCAAAAAGCTTTTTTTGGTTGATCATATTATACAAAACTGACTTTTAAACATAACTCTGCAATTTCTGTCTGAAATCTCCTGTCTCAGACCTGTATTAGTATGATGTATGATGATTTTTTTTTGCTTTGACATCAGTAGTTTTCTGCATTTTAAAACAAAAGTATTGAAAAGAGTTATTTCCCAAGAAAGTTAGGATCTATTTTTAGTCTGAATAAACTCTGTTCCCGGCTGCAATGGTCTAAATTGGTCTGAATTGAAGCACAGCTCAACATCCAGGGACAGGCCAAGACCTGTGAGACAGAAATAATCACAACTGTAATGAACATGTATAAGTGGCATTATTATCATACAGGTACAACTGGAAATTATGCACCATGGAGCGTGCTCCATTCACAAAAAAAGTTAGACACTAAACCCAGTGATAACCTCCAAGTAATCATATGTTGACGGGGAACAGCGGTCCAGTCTATGCAACAAATGCTTCGAATATCTGTAGCAAAAGCCTTAAGTTCACAGATGCAATTTCCCCAACCTCTATTTATTGATCCTTTTTTGTAGTTTCAGCATCACTTATGATTTTGAAAGTAGATATTTCAAAATTCCATATTTTTTTCAGGACCTACACATTCCCAAAACTTTTCAAGGACCTGGACATTTGATTTCAATTTTGTTTTTATTTTTTTCATTTGTTGTATCTGTAAAAACCTGATGACTACTGGTTCTGGAGGTCTTGCTGTTTGTTTCATTTGACTACCATCATCAACAGCTCAGTGTGCAACTCCATACTGATGGAGTCGAGAATGTTTTAACCGTTCACCTCTAAAACATTACTTACTGCTGTGTGAACTGCTGTGCTGTATGTCAAGAAATAAAAAAAATATGTGAGATTTGTGTTTGGGCGCTTCTGTTAAGCATAAGACAAAATAAACGTGTGTACATTTACACATTTATGTGTATTGTTTGACCATTTATTTGTCTGTGATGGAATGCTCGCCGAGTGATCTGGTCGTAGAAATAGGTTTAAGAATGACAGGAGGCCGAGCTTTGAAACCAAACACAAACACTTGATTCTGGAAAGCATGAGCAAATTACATGGAACAAAAGAATACATGTAAAAATAGATAATTTACATACACAATTTTCAAGAACACTTACTTTTGAATTGCATACAATGGTTTTAGAAAAAACATGTGGTCAAACTGCCATTGGAGCCTGCACAGAATGTCCAGGAGCAAAGCCGAGTAATTCATGTACATACATATGAAAGAAAAGCTGCAAAACTGGCCATTATGATTTTTCTGTATTTGTTTATTCTAACATTGATTAAACTGTCTTATTATGACTCATTTTGGTGCATTTGTAATCAGACAACACAAATAAACACCAATGTCATAATAGTACTTTTTAATAGTGAATTTAGGGAATAAAAACATGAGATGATCTTACAAAGTACTATCACACAGATATACTGAAGACGACAGAGGCTCATGGGAAAGCCAATTCAGTCCAGATCAACATCTGAAAAGGGAACTGTTAACTACAGATTGGGGAAAGTTAAGTAGGAACTATTGTGCAGAACTAATGCAACAGGGATTTTCAAAAGAGACCTATAATGTGTATCAAAAAGATTGTCCCCATACGTTCACACTGGAATTGTTCCATCATGAATCCAAATATATATCTAATGTTTAAAGTGCATATGATGATAATGATTAGTCAAATATCACTGAAGCATAATCAATCTTTTGGACTTTCTTGTATGTTTAAGATCTTTTCTTGTTCAACATATTTAATTGAGCAGTCTGCATCATATGTGAAGGTCTGTGTGAAAAAGAATTGAGCTTTTACAAACTGTTTAAATCAAGCCTGTGCCATGTGTAAACAAATGCCTGGGGAGGCCACAGAAAACACACTTTTTACCACCACCTTTTCCATAAACATTTGAATGATGACTTTAATGTTACCAGTAAATAAAATGTACATACACCTGCATAGAACGATGAAACCAAAATATTGCAAGAACAAGTAACGTCCTTCTGTTCATGACATGAACTCATAAAGGCACATCGGTGAGAGACGTTGGGCTCAGAATGGAACGCTCTAATGTATTACTCACATTTTTATTAATTTGCTTTGTTTCAACAAAAGTAAACATTATTTTACACAATATTCTTTTTTACATTTCAAAGAACAATGGCATTCAACAGGTCTCATTGTACCCAGTGGTGGAAAAAGTATAGTAGGAAAGAGATAAATTAAATAAAGAATTACGTAAAGGACAGTTTGTGTTTCACATTGTTCCTCATCAGAAACAGTTGCTTTAGTTCCACTCTTTAATGCTCTTTACAACTGCATGGACCATGTTAGATTCTGATCAACATTTATTGGAATATTATATCACTATTGTCTTCTCTCTTTTGTGTGCATCTATTTATCATAAACAAGAAATTCTTTCACATGCCAAAAGTAACTTTTCTCAAGATCATCAACTTTCTGCTAAAATGCAGAATATGTGCATTAAAGGTTAAATACATTGGGTGACATTTGGTTAAATAAACTTCAATTGTTTTATTAGTATCTTTAAAGGGAAATGCATGTATTTTGATGAATTCTCAAAGTTAGAGATTAAACTCTCAGCAGGATATCAGAATGAATGTGGGTTAACAATGAAGTCCTACAAACATACTTGTCTCAGTCCACTTAGCAAATAGATGAACATAAGAGTGATGTCTGTTTTTAAATGTAGTGACAATTGACATAAACACGATAGTTTCACTTTAGTCCTTTGTTGCGTTCCACCACTGGTTCTGCTCATGGTGCTCTCTGTGTTCCCTGTCGGACAAGTTCAGCATAAGCCTTTTCCAAGATACTGTGCTGGTAAGTTTTGGGTGTCTTAAACTCAATATAAATCCTTGTAGACATCATATCTACCATTAGAAAACCACACATGTCCACACAAGACCTTCGTTAAGACATAAAATTCACCATGATTTCAGAGTTTGAAGACAGAACTGTGGCTAGCTTGCTGCTTATTTCTATCCAATCTTACTCTCCCGAAACCTAAGCTCTCCCCTCGTCACAGCTCCATTGTGGCGGCCTTCATATTCCAAAGAGCAAAATTGTGTAAATGGATTTATAGTAGTGTTGTAGTAACATGTTACTGGTCTGTAAGTTTACACCATATGGACAAGGGTTTATTATTGACGTTGTTCAGTTACCTTTGCTCTTAATAATAACAATACTTTAGTGTTGAATGATATGTACCATTCTTTCATTCCATTGATTGTTTAGGACCAACAAAGAAAACATGGAAAACTATTGTTTCCTGTTTTTTTCCATTTGAAAATCAAATTATAAATACAGTAAATAAAAAAAAACCAAAAAAAAAAGGTCTTTGTTTGCAATAAGCCAAACAACCGCGAGAAGCTGCCACTCTGAGGTCAGAGGCTTCGATTATGAGCTTTTGTGAGACTCCTTGCAAAGTCACTCATTTCCTTTCAGGGCCAGGATTTCTAGATGGGGTGGTTCTTCCCCCCAATTTATCGGCTTTGCGATCTATTTTGCAGGCATTAATGTGTCTCAGTGGTTGGTAAAAAATTGGGCTGGTTTTGGATCAGTTCAGCAGATTGTTGTAACTGAAATACTGGCACTTAAGAATCTTAAGTGCCGCTGTTTAGATCCCTCTTGCTGCAACACTGTGCAGGCAGGAGAGCAAGACTCACTCAATCACAGACAGACCTATGACATACAACTATGACACACAACTATGACACACAACTATGACACACACCTATGACACACAACTATGACACACACCTATGAGACACAACTATGAGACACAGACAGCGGTGGCACCCTCTCCACCTGAAGAAGGAACTCTCTCAAATGCAACACAGCACACTGAACATACTCTGTGTATGAAATGTGACTAATAAATAACAGAAGAGTCAAATATAAATACTACATAATGAAACCAACAATAAACTCAGATCCCGTTTCTACAGAGGGTAGAGGATGCTTCTACAGAGGGTAGAGGATGTTTCTACAGAGGGTAGAGGACGTTTCTACAGAGGGTAGAGGATGCTTCTACAGAGGGTAGAGGATGTTTCTACAGAGGGTAGAGGATGCTTCTACAGAGGGTAGAGGATGTTTCTACAGAGGGTAGAGGATGCTTCTACAGAGGGTAGAGGGTGTTTCTACAGAGGGTAGAGGATGCTTCTACAGAGGGTAGAGGATGTTTCTACAGAGGGTAGAGGACGTTTCTACAGAGGGTAGAGGATGCTTCTACAGAGGGTAGAGGATGTTTCTACAGAGGGTAGAGGATGCTTCTACAGAGGGTAGAGGATGTTTCTACAGAGGGTAGAGGATGCTTCTACAGAGGGTAGAGGATGTTTCTACAGAGGGTAGAGGATGCTTCTACAGAGGGTAGAGGATGCTTCTACAGAGGGTAGAGGATGCTTCTACAGAGGGTAGAGGATGTTTCTACAGAGGGTAGAGGACGTTTCTACAGAGGGTAGAGGATGTTTCTACAGAGGGTAGAGGATGCTTCTACAGAGGGTAGAGGATGCTTCTACAGAGGGTAGAGGATGTTTCTACAGAGGGTAGAGGGTGTTTCTACAGAGGGTAGAGGATGTTTCTACAGAGGGTAGAGGGTGCTTCTACAGAGGGTAGAGGATGCTTCTACAGAGGGTAGAGGGTGTTTCTACAGAGGGTAGAGGATGTTTCTACAGAGGGTAGAGGATGCTTCTACAGAGGGTAGAGGGTGTTTCTACAGAGGGTAGAGGGTGTTTCTACAGAGGGTAGAGGATGCTTCTACAGAGGGTATAGGGTGTTTCTACAGAGGGTAGAGGATGTTTCTACAGAGGGTAGAGGATGCTTCTACAGAGGGTAGAGGACGTTTCTACAGAGGGTAGAGGACGTTTCTACAGAGGGTAGAGGATGTTTCTACAGAGGGTAGAGGATGCTTCTACAGAGGGTAGAGGGTGTTTCTACAGAGGGTAGAGGATGTTTCTACATAGGGTAGAGGATGTTTCTACAGAGGGTAGAGGATGTTTCTACAGAGGGTGGAGGATGCTTCTACAGAGGGTAGAGGACGTTTCTACAGAGGGTAGAGGACGTTTCTACAGAGGGTCGAGGACGTTTCTACAGAGGGTCGAGGGTGTTTCTACAGAGGGTAGAGGATGTTTCTACAGAGGGTAGAGGATGCTTCTACAGAGGGTAGAGGACGTTTCTACAGAGGGTAGAGGACGTTTCTACAGAGGGTAGAGGATGTTTCTACAGAGGGTAGAGGATGTTTCTACAGAGGGTAGAGGATGTTTCTACAGAGGGTAGAGGGTGCTTCTACAGAGGGTAGAGGGTGTTTCTACAGAGGGTAGAGGATGTTTCTACAGAGGGTAGAGGATGTTTCTACAGAGGGTAGAGGATGTTTCTACAGAGGGTAGAGGATGTTTCTACAGAGGGTAGAGGATGCTTCTACAGAGGGTAGAGGACGTTTCTACAGAGGGTCGAGGGTGTTTCTACAGAGGGTAGAGGATGTTTCTACAGAGGGTAGAGGATGTTTCTACAGAGGGTAGAGGGTGCTTCTACAGAGGGTAGAGGGTGCTTCTACAGAGGGTAGAGGGTGTTTCTACAGAGGGTAGAGGACGTTTCTACAGAGGGTAGAGGATGCTTCTACAGAGGGTAGAGGATGTTTCTACAGAGGGTAGAGGATGCTTCTACAGAGGGTAGAGGATGTTTCTACAGAGGGTAGAGGATGCTTCTACAGAGGGTAGAGGATGCTTCTACAGAGGGTAGAGGATGCTTCTACAGAGGGTAGAGGATGTTTCTACAGAGGGTAGAGGACGTTTCTACAGAGGGTAGAGGATGTTTCTACAGAGGGTAGAGGATGCTTCTACAGAGGGTAGAGGATGCTTCTACAGAGGGTAGAGGATGTTTCTACAGAGGGTAGAGGGTGTTTCTACAGAGGGTAGAGGATGTTTCTACAGAGGGTAGAGGATGCTTCTACAGAGGGTAGAGGATGTTTCTACAGAGGGTAGAGGATGCTTCTACAGAGGGTAGAGGATGTTTCTACAGAGGGTAGAGGATGCTTCTACAGAGGGTAGAGGATGTTTCTACAGAGGGTAGAGGATGCTTCTACAGAGGGTAGAGGATGTTTCTACAGAGGGTAGAGGATGCTTCTACAGAGGGTAGAGGATGCTTCTACAGAGGGTAGAGGATGCTTCTACAGAGGGTAGAGGATGTTTCTACAGAGGGTAGAGGGTGTTTCTACAGAGGGTAGAGGATGTTTCTACAGAGGGTAGAGGATGTTTCTACAGAGGGTAGAGGATGTTTCTACAGAGGGTAGAGGATGCTTCTACAGAGGGTAGAGGATGTTTCTACAGAGGGTAGAGGATGTTTCTACAGAGGGTAGAGGATGTTTCTACAGAGGGTAGAGGGTGTTTCTACAGAGGGTAGAGGATGTTTCTACAGAGGGTAGAGGATGTTTCTACAGAGGGTAGAGGATGTTTCTACAGAGGGTAGAGGATGCTTCTACAGAGGGTAGAGGACGTTTCTACAGAGGGTCGAGGGTGTTTCTACAGAGGGTAGAGGATGTTTCTACAGAGGGTAGAGGATGTTTCCACAGAGGGTAGAGGACGTTTCTACAGAGGGTAGAGGGTGCTTCTACAGAGGGTAGAGGGTGTTTCTACTGAGGGTAGAGGATGTTTCTAAAGAGGGTAGAGGATGTTTCCACAGAGGGTAGAGGACATTTCTACAGAGGGTAGAGGATGTTTCTACAGAGGGTAGAGGATGTTTCTACAGAGGGTAGAGGATGTTTCTACAGAGGGTAGAGGGTGTTTCTACAGAGGGTAGAGGGTGTTTCTACAGAGGGTAGAGGATGTTTCTACAGAGGGTAGAGGATGCTTCTACAGAGGGTAGAGGACGTTTCTACAGAGGGTAGAGGACGTTTCTGTTCCAAGCGACTTGTGGGCTACAAAGACACAAATAGACAATAAATTAATTACTAAGTTAATCACAGAAGCCGAGGTCTTACTTTGGTGTTAGTTGAATATTGTTTCTAAAACAAGACAAAACGGGTCATTTCATTTTAAAGGTTGTTAATATTTTCCCTGTGTTAAAACAAGAAACAAGCCAAAACATTTTGGGCTGGAAAATCTCACTAATATCAATCTTAAATTTTGTTAATGGTAGGTTTTTTTGGCTAACAAGGCTGATAACAAAGGAATCTGTCTTTGATTTTAAAAATCAAACAACAGAACACTTGTTTTTAATTTTCTACATATATTTACATTCTTGGTCCCAAACACAATGAAGAAATGGTATATTTGTTCATACACAGATTGAAATGAAGCCCAGCCGTAACCAGTGCTGCCAAAATGCACCGTCCTCTGGTCTTTTTAACTCTTCTGTTTGAAAAAGATGAGCCAAAGATGTGAGACGCCACAATAGAATGCAGATGAAAACTAATGACAGAAGCAAACTGATTTCAATTACGTTGTTGGTTTTGAATAGATATTTGTCTTTATAATTCCAACAATTTTTAGATGGGGATTGCAAAAGATGAAATAACTTTCATTCTACAACGTGATATTTTATATACTGTAAAGTTATAAAGGACTGCACAGAACTAGCATCTAAAGTGAACATTGATAATGTGAATAGACATGAATGAAATCTGTCCTGTCTTTTGGGAGCTGAACCTATGGGGGGTGAGTTGGAGACCCTTGCTCTAGTAGCCATCTTCCTATAATGATTGTATTGCTCGTAAAAATGACTTCTCCGTAGACTGTAACAGCACAACTGATCCCGGAAAGACAACGGAACCCAACTTTTTCATGAGCACTCTCTCTATTGATTGGTAAATCGCTCCAGAATTCTTCATTACATTTGCCCTGTACATATTTCTCTTACACGTTTACTAAGAACCCAACACCTCAAATTAAAATGCGTATGACAGATTGGAATGATTCAGGTTGAGGATTTGTCCAAATGTTTGGCACAAATTTAATAGAAAATACCCATTGCCCAGTGTACAACATCCGGTGTGATTATTTTACAATCAAACAAATACAATTAGAAACCTAACGCAGATGTGACAATGAAATAATGGTCACATGAATGGACAATGAGGTGTGTTTCAGTAAACTGAGAGCAGTCTAGTCTGTCATGCACACTTTAATGATACAAATGCATATTCATTAGGCAGAAATAACATTTACAGATGATAAGGATGACAAAAATAAAAGGAAGATCATTGTATGGTTCTAAATGAAATATTTAGGCAGATCTGCAGCTGGTTTAGGACGAGGAATTCAATGAGAAAAACCATTATTGTTCTTTTGAAAAATTCTCCTGATGACTGCCAGCGCTTCCACTTTTGGAGAGTTTGGAGAAGAGTGCATCTCCTTTAGAACACTGTTGAGCTGTTCTGCTCTGCGGCGTCTGCACGTCCTGTCCTTCCTCAGTTCTACTGAAACATATTCATGGCCGTGGTTTGTGCTCCGTCTTGATGCATTCCAGAGGAATCTACAGTTCAACTGCTGTCCAGTCAGTTTGTATTATTTGTTGTTTGTTTGTACTTTTTCATAGTAGACTTTCCCATGAGTTCATTTAGTGTGTTCCCTACACACGTTTTAAACCATTTTATCTTCTTATATATATGTATTTATAATTATACAGTATATTTTATACATATATAAAAACATGTTTTCAAAGTGGGAATGTTGATAAAATGGAAAGAAGCTGTCTTTGATAATCCACAAGTGACTCTGGAGTTTTAATGAAGAAGATGGCAGGAGGAAGTTTCTTTGCAGCTCCTCCATCTGTAGACACACAAACATATGAACAGTGATGGAAAAAGAACCTCAGTCCATCCTTCATTGTTTCTTTTTTCATCATAGTTTAAAATGTAGTGGTGTAGAAAGTGTGTGACAGCAGAAGGCCCTACATTTGGATCAATGCTTTAAAATGAAATATGTATGTATGTATATATGGCTTTAAACATTTAAACATGATTAAATACTGTATATCTATATCCAGGTGAACATTTGAAAAAGTTAATTTATTCTTGTAACAACATAATACATGATGTGGACTCATGGCGTATGTCAAATTAGTTTTTTTGATCATGATGGCTTACAGCTTGAAAAAAATAAATAAAAATAAATCAGAATTGCATTACAATGGAATATTACATGATATCAATGAAAAAATTTGTGAGACCACTGAAAACTGTAGTCATGCTATGTACTTGGTTTGAGCCCTTTTGCTTGAACCCCTGCCTTTATGAGTGGCATGGATGCTCTCGGCCTGCGGCTCTGCTGATGTGTGAAGGAGCAATCATATAACAATCATATCACAATATGACGATTATATCACATTAAGACGATTATCGATATATTGGTCAGAAATATACCATATGCCAATTTATGGCATAAATAAAAGAAAAATGTTAAGTGAAAAAATACACTTTATTTCATGATAAATGGAATAGAGATACGTAATGTTGTCATATATTAAGTATTGATACTAATTAGAAAAAAAATATATATACATATATATATATTTTTTTTTCAAAATCGATACTTGGCAAATGCATATTGATAATAGATCGCTGGAGAAAGTATCACAATATATCGTTATATCAATATTTCGTCACACTCCTAATCTATACAATAATAACTAGATAGGGTATTACTAGCTTAAAGCTGTCCCACCCACGGGCACAGGGGGCGCCCGTGATACTGCAGACTAAATTCACAAGGGCTACACAGAAAAAAGTCCCATAGAACTCAATGTAAACTAAAACAGCTCGACCTCAGCTGACAGAGAACCTACAGCGTTCACAAAAGGTCGTTTTGTGGGGAATTTAGTGTCCCTTGTCATCCTTAACTTTTTTCTACTTAAATCCCTCAGTTTTCTTTAAATCCACACATTTATTTCAGCAGCGCTTTTTGGTCAAAGCGCGGCCGAGCCCCTCTGTGCACGTGCGTGAGAGCCACACACGCGTATTTGGCGCAAAGTATCATGAGAGCTCGTCCATAGGCCACACATCCATGATATCTATAATACATGTTCTAAATGAGTGTGAAGTGCTCTGACCGTTTTACAAGTGTCCCATGGAGCCGTCTGAGCCCATGGGATGATGTGTAGGGCCAAGTGACAGCGGTGGCCCTTCTGTCGCTACGGAAACCTTCTCTTCTTCACGTCTTTTCAAGCACGCCGCCTTCGGATTCAGGTTTCTCTCTGCACAGGCAAAACATCACAAGCCACACAACAATGAGTGTGAATTCTGTTTGTTTTAACTTAATTTCACGAGATTTATCATTACTCAATAATAATGATAATGATAATAACAATGATAATAATAATAATGATAATAATAATAATAATAATGACAATGATAATAATAATAATAATAATAATAATAATAATAATAATAATAATAATAATAATAATTACACATTTCATTCATATGATGCCTTTCCGGGGGACTCAAACACAGTTAAAATTGAACAGTGAAATGTAGGGTCACAGGTCACAGGCCTGTCTGAATAGGTGTGCTTCAAGTTCTGTGTTCCAGAGCTGGGAAGCAGAGCGGCTGAATCTACAGGTGTAACGTCGAGATACACTACTCTAAACTTTGACTCTTACAACCCACATATCACAACATGAAACCATCAACATCTCGCCTCAAATTGCATTAAGAGACATCCATGTGTTATTTCGTTTAAACCTTTAAAGCAATTCACAGACTTTATGTCCGCCATCTTGGTTTGCTCAGGCTGCCGTGAGATGCGCATGCACAGGTTTGCATTACATCGTTAACAGTTACACCGGTCCTCATGGTGACGAGGCGGCAGGAGGGACCAGGAGGCATCAGGAGGCATCAGGAGGCATCAGGAGGGAGGAACGGGCAGGTTTAACAACCATTGTTAAGTAAGAAATAATACTATCTTGCATTTGTGCATTTACAAGTTGTTCTCTCTAAGCACTACTATGAAGTCACTGTCCATTCACTCTGTACCTGGGGGTGATAAACTTCTAAGGTAGTCACAGCTGCCCAGGGGCATGATAAATCAGTTTACTCCAATTTGAAAGGGTGCTAATCACTTTTGCAATTGAGCTAAATGTTTGATAAGTACAGACTTTACTGATTCACACATTCAATGAATGTTCTAAACATACTACGTTGTATATTGTGTTTCCTGTACATAGATCATAAAAATATTAATATTCTTCACCATCCAAGGCCGGTGACATGTCTGACAAACATCCGAGTGGATTTTGACTTGAACCATGATAGGACAGGCTTTAGAGGCGCTGTGCACATGCATGTGTTCCTATGCCACACATGTGCTCACTGCACATCAGCTCCTAATGAATGTGGTGTAAAAGTACAAAGAATATGCATGGTGTAATGGGCTCTTCATCTGACTAACTGGCCCCAAAGTCCAGTCACTAGTACAAGTACAATTGAATAATAACAATACAAAAAAACCCTGTAATATATGGGTTTCATTTTCTGAAATGGCAATTTTAGAACTTTTTCACTGTATTCTTATTCTTGGATGTGTGTGTGTGTGTATGTGTGTGTGTGTATGTGTGTGTGTGTGTGTGTGTGTGTGTGTGTGTGTGTGTGTGTGTGTGTGTGTGTGTGTGTGTGTGTGTGTGTGTGTGTGTGTGTGTGTGTGTGTGCGTGTGTGTGCGTGCCCAGGAACTGAAAAAGGTCCCAAAAGTGTGCAAGATTGTACACATGCTGATGTTCTCTTGTCTTTTGTTGCTGCATGTTAGTGAAGTTCCTTGGGTGTGGCAATGTGAGGGTGATGTCTGACCTCGGACCTGCTGCTCCAGGCTGAGGATGACAGCCACGGCTTGGTGCAGGATCAGCAGTTTGGTCTGGGGCTTGTCACTCTTCAGATGCAGTTGCACCATCCGGCCCAGTTCCTTGAAGGCCTCGTTGATGTCGCGCACTCGTAAGCGCTCTCGGGCATTATTGGCCATCCTCCTTTCCCGCTCACGCTCCATCTTCTGCTCCGGCGTTAGGTCTTCATCATCATTGTTGCTATGACAACCACATTTTGTGTTACATACGGTCGCTCGCTGATGTAATTACATTACACTGTTATTACCACAAAAATAACGATTTGATTTCTTGGAAACCCCACATAAATTACATGAGGACAAACATTTCTAAATGTGTTGGAATGATGAAAAGATCAAGCCATTTACGGAGCACCATTGCTCTGCTCCTGCTGTATCTATCTTTCACATCTCACTCAGTCTTTGATCATGTTCCGCATAAAAGCTATTAGGATTGATTCTAATGTTCATGTTAGACAACATTCTAACACACTGCTCATTGAATGGAACTGAATAAGAACAGAGTGGATGTGTCGAGATTTAGAACTATATTGACATCAATGTGCATGTTCACACCTTATTGCATTTGAAAAACTGTATTAAAAAGAAGTAAATTAGAAGTAGGTGGAAGAGGAGTTTAGGTTACTGTTGTGGTTTAGGTTTATTTCAGTGTCTTCCTTAATTCTACTTGTATGATAACCTGTCCTACCCTCACGTGTTTCACCTGCGTATTCCTTCACTCACTGTTCCATCATTGTCATTTCCACACCTCAAAGTTCTTGTCTTTGTCCCCAGTTTGGTGTGGATAAACAAGTTAAAAAAATATGCATGGTGCAATGGGCTCTTCATCTGACTAACTGGCCCGTAAGTCCAGTCGCTATTACAAGCACAATTTAATAATAACCAACAATACTTATTTTTGCTGTCCTGTGTTGAAGGTTCATTTCATTTTGCCATCATGACATGAAAGTTAAATGTCCATAATTGAAGATTCTGTATTGGCAAGGAATGCTTCTAAAACTCAAATAATGACAGGTATTTCACGCATTGCCTTTTGTACAGGTTTTTAGTCGTCAAAGAAACCAGAGAACGCGCAGCTCCAAGTTGAAAGGCCCAAGCGTCGAACAACTGACCTGTATGCCACGGACATGATATATACTGTTTGTTTTTAAAGCCGTCAATGGTCTCGCCCCTCCGTACTTGTCCGAACTTTTGTCTGTTCGTGACTCAGGCAGATCATTGAGGTCCTCATCTCAACTCCTCCTGGAAGTACCTAGGACTAGGTCCAAACACTGGGGAGACCGGTCCTTCTCAGTCGCTGGACCCAGACTCTGGAACAAGATGCCCCCTGATATGCGTGTCCTTACTGATTTTGGCCTTTTTAAATCTAGGCTCAAAACATATTTATTCAGACTGGCTTTTAACACTTTTATCACTCAATAGCAGGTGACACTTTTTAAATGCTTTTTTTTTTCTTTTAAATGTTTTATTGTTTCAGTGCATAAATGTTTAAAATTGATTTTATGTAATTTTATGGTCGCCTTGAGTGTTGTAAAGGGCTCTATAAATGAAATTGATTGATTGATAGATTATAATATTAGTAATAATGATGATCGCGCTTTTTAATTCACTTTCACATTAATTGCATAGAATTTTTTTGTTGAAAATACTAATATTCAAACTTTACTTCTCCTGTCTGTGGTTTGGCCCAGACAGTGGTTTCGCTGACCTATTTCGCTGGAGAAGGACTTGACCACAGCGTTGAAAATGATGACCAAGACTGGGCATACCAGTGCTCCACTTCTGGTGTATTTTTACAATGGATCAAAAACAAAAAAAGTTTGCATAATTTCACCTTTAAAGCTGGCGTGGGCAGAGGGTCTGCTCAACTGACCTTTCTAAAGCCTTTAGCTCCTTCCCGTCCTCATCTTCCTCTTTGGGGTCCAGCCCTTTGGAGTCCTGCAGAAGGTTCTCGTCAACCTCATCTTCCGATTTAATTTCAGAGCTTACTGAAGACGCGCTCTGCCCCTGCACTCCTCTGGACAGCACTGCCAATACAAGGGCCAAGTCAAGGTCATTGGTCTTCATGTTAGAATACACCTTTTTAAACCAATAAGGCCACAATTGAAATTCAGAGGAAGAAGACGTCAGATAACTACGGAAGCTTGTTAGGTTCACTTGTGAGTGTTTTTTTCCCCCGCTGGTATCATGTTATTTCATGATACTTTCATGAAATAACATGATAAATATCATGTTATTTCATGATACCAATTTATCATGTTATTTCATGATACACAACTATCATGTTATTTCATGATACACAACTATCATGTAATTTCATGAAACACAACTATTATGTTATTTCATGATACCAATTTATCATGTTATTTCATGATACCAGTTTATCATGAAATAACATGATACTGTAGATACAGAAGAAGAAGAAGCTGTCAGCTTCTTCTGATAAATTGGTATCATGAAATAACATGATAGTTGTGTATCATGAAATAACATGATAGTTGTGTATCATGAAATAACATGATACTTTCATGAAATAACATGATACCAGCGAGAAAAAAAACACACTCACAAGTGAACCTAACAAGCTTCCGTAGATAACTAACTGATTCTAGATTCATACTAATATTTGTCACAATACCTCTGTAGGGATCACTGTGGTTCAGTTCTGGCGAGGTGGCCGTCTGATTGGACAGCTGACTTGTCATGTGACTATTTCGATGAGCACTGTCTTCTCTGTGAGAGCCCACCTGCAAATCACAGCATGAACAATGTTCAAAGCATTTTGCTATCTAGGAAGAATACTGTAAAGGAACAAATGTTTGGAGTATTTTTTTTCCCTCTACAGTGATTAAGCACATTTCTCTAATCTGAACTGACGGCTTCTGCGCTCGGAACTTACGTATATTTAACCCCAACCACCAGGGGTCTTAAACTCAATTCAGCAGGGGCTGGACGAGGTCTAGTCCAGGTATTTAAGGAGTATATTTATCACGTGTAAATATATGTATTTGATTGATTTAAATTGAAAATATTTATAAGATGGCCACCCCTTTATCTACAGTAAATACAATACAATTTCTTCTTGTATAGCCCTATATCACAACAACAGTTATCTCAGAGGACTTAACAAAACCATTGAAATCACCAACACAGATCAGAGAATCAACAGTTGACACAGAAAATAAACATATGTATTGGTCCATAGGAGAGACCAATGTCCATGAATGTTGATAAATGTCCATACATGTTGTAGAATGTTAAAGTGTCCTGGATCATCACCACAGTCCTTTTTGTTAGACAATAACGGTCCAACAGACCCTCCTGCATCGGTAAGGAAAAACCCTAAAACCCAGTGGGAGAAAAGTGAGAAACCTCGGGGAGATCCGCATAGAGAGAGGGATCCGCTCCACACGGACGGATGGGCCATAGATCCAGGATATAAATACATTTCAATGATACAATAATACATTAACGTTTTTCACTCTAAATGTCAATTTATGCTGTACGAGGATTACAGCAAATAATTACGGTTATCCAATTTATATATTTCTTTTGTTAATGGGCTGATCCTGTAATTACTTGTAAAAATAATAATTTTCATGTTTAATGTTTTATGACTAGATTAGAATGCAGATGCATAGACTGATAACTTGTAAATGAACTTTGTTCTTTTGTTGTTACATAATTTTAACTTTTTTCCAGAATTATTCAGATAGCAATACTTGATTTTGTTATACCCATGTCGAACACTAGGGAGCAGCATTACCCCACACAGTACTGCAGCTCTCTCATTACGTCTGTATTATCTTTGTGAAGGTTCCTTTTGAGGACAGAGAAGCATTAGGACAAAACAAAAACAGTTGAAGTCAATCAAAGACAACAACGCAATGATCCTCAAAGCTGATCTTAACGCTGTACTTCAGCCCTACATTTCATGATACAAGTTATAATAATGTATTAACTTGTAGCCCTTGAGTACATTGGTTTTAGTATTTAAAGAGTCTGATTATTAACCTAGTTTTATTTCGATGTACAGTGTTTATTAATGAACAGCAGTGCTTTAAATACACCAGATTATACCTTGGGTAAATTCCATCCGTAGTCCCACAGCCCCACTCTCAAACTCATTCACCTTGAACTGTCCAACCTGATCTCACGTGCAATATCCTTAACTAATTACTGAGTCACTGTGTCCCAGAGCCTCATGCTGTCTCTGGCCCAGGAGTCCAATTGTTTACCTTTATTTAAATAGGAAAGTCCTACTGAGCTTGCAGAATCTGTTTTTCAGAGGAGTCCTGGCCCCAGAGAGAGTAGGGGCAAATCATGTCTAAGTCTCAGTTTCATACAGAGTAAAATTACAATGCAATGCAATTTAAAAATTCAGACAGATTATGTTTAAAAAATGTAAATTGAAATCAGACAAATTCCATGAAGCTGCTTTAAATTATACTCATTACACTTGTATTTTTATCATAGCTATTCAGGCTTCACATAACCCTGAAAGACACTGATCAGGAGAGCGCTGCAGGAGGAGGCACAGGGAGCACAAGCAAACTTCTACTCCATGAGCCAGCTTTGTTTCTTGCAGCATTGACCACACATTCTCATTGTATTTGCGCCGTGTTTTATTTACCATACAGACGTGCAAATTTCAGAACCACTAGTCCGAGTCAAATCAGATTCTTCAGGGGACGAGACCCATTTATTATACAATATACACACTTATTTTCATTTCCTTTTATTCTAAATCATTTAATCAGTAAGGCTATTGATTAAAATGTGCATGCTATCACTCTCTTCTGCTCCTTTTGTTCAAATTATATGGAACTCGTGGACAAAACCATGTATTAATTATAATATACTATTGCGTTAAGAATTGTGGTCATTTGAAAAATCTTGTGAGGGCTTTATTCTACTGATAAACCACAGTGGTCAGATGTGATGACATCAGTGTAATGCCACTCAGTAAAGCACTTATTCTCTCACACTGGAAAACTGATTTGAACTTCATCCTGACCTGTAAAAGATAACGTTTTGTAAAAATGCAGGTCATTAGTGTGTGCTTATAAAGGACAACACTTGTCAGCAAGAATTAAGCTTGTGCCACATATAAGGATTTGTGTGTCACTAAAACACATACAAAATGTGAGATCATTCAAAGATCTAATCACAGACAAATGCTACACTGTCTCTGTTTCTTCTGTCAAATTCATATTTCATCTAGAGAATAATTCATTTATTGTCTGCTAAATCAAAACAGGTTTTGCGTTGGACAGACACACAAATGTAATCATGCATTTAAAACATTGCATGTATTTACTGAGGGGTCTTTCAAAGCAGCAAAGAGGAAGCTGTGAATATGCTTTTTTTTTTTTTTTTTTACAATTTCATAGCCAAATAGTTATACAGTACTCCCAATGCGTATATACTATTTTGAAAGTTTATTGATGATCATTCTAAAAAGGAAAACACAGTAAATATTTCATAATAGGCGCAGTACATTTACATACAGCAGTCGAACTGTCTAAATTACCGCTACATTTGGCCTGGCAAAAAGACTAGGACAAAAGGTGGGTTGAAAGTGATGTCAAAATAATCCAGTAGCGAAGGGCGGTCAATGTGATTGGAAAGGCCAAATCCCTTTTATACCATTTCTCACGGCTTGAGACGACATACTAAGATTTTAGCTTCACTGCATCTGAACATTAACATTTTTTGTCTGCTCAAACTAAACATAGTGTGGCATTGAGACCTAAAACTAATTATTTAACATGTATATTGTTGTAAGCCATGCATAAAAAAAAACAAAAACAAAAAAACACACACACACACACACTGTGTACGCATTAACAAGCTCACAAGTTGACTAGTGGTTTTAGTTGCAACCCGGGTGTGGCTGTGCGCCACAAAGGCATGTAGCTTGTAACCTCCACAGCGTTAAAAGAAAAGGAACCTGGTGATATGCTACGCTTGCCATTTTGTTCCAAAATGCATGTGCAGTGTATTTGGGCGGTGAGTTAATCTGGCCCCAAGTGCAGGCCGCAGTGGTGTGTGTGTGCGTGCATGCTCTGGGGGCACAGCTGGAACAGATTTGTTTCACTGAAAGCTTGTATGCTGAAGTCATGGCTCTGAAAAACAGGTGCAAGACACATGCCTCCATGCCTAAGCACACACAAACACACACATGTGTACACAACACAAATACACAAAACACACACACACACACACACACACACACACATGTGCACAAAACAAACACACACACACTCAGTAAGTGTAAGGTTTTCATGCATTGACAAACACACCATTTCCTGGTGATTGTTGTGATCCACTGATTTAACTTTGACTACATACTCATTAACTCAACTTCGTGGAGACACTATGGGTTACTTCCCCACAAACCTCAGTGTCTCATTTATCTCCAAAAACATTTTGTAGCAAATCCAGTCCGATTAAAAACATTGTCATTCAGTCCCACATTAATCCAGTCGCTGTCTCAAAGTGAGAGCAACTTTACTTTCTACAAACAGCTGGTGCTATCTGCGCTAACAGTAGCTTTGTATTTACTCAATCAGATGTTCTGTACCACGCTGTGACTGCCGCGCCCAGTGCCCGCTCGACTCGACTTCTCCCCACTTGGCAAAGCTCTAAACCGGGGCCAGTCTTGTTGCTACTCAGCGTTTGCCTGTGTTTGCTGGCTATTTGGCGGCTATGAAACAGAACCATGGCACATCTATTTGATTCATTTCCAATAGCTGTGCAATCCAGGAGACCGTATCCGACGATTCAATAAAATATAGAGAATTATTATTATTATATTATTATTGCAGTGGAGATTTTAGATGCTAAAACAAGCTCTGCTTTTGCCACAAAATTGATAACAACCCATTATTTCCACCTAAAATAAAATAATGTCTGTATTTATCATAACTGCATTTTTTTGCTATTGTGAGATGGCTATGTTACCAAGGAAATTAGACTCAAGATTCAATGATTTGAACTAAATATTGTTCTCATCCTTGATGGGGGAGTGGGGAGTGAGTGGTGAGAGCTCAGGGAAGGCAGGGAAAGGAGGGAGCTCAGATCCTTGTGTTGTGTAAAGCTGAAATGTATTGATTCTGTTAAACAAATATGATATGATGAATATATATTAAAACAAGGAATAAGCTTCTAAAAATGAATTAATTATGTCTTATTATTTTCGAAACACTCACATCATTATTACTAGTGAATGAAGCCGTGGGTGAAGGAAGAAGGCCTACCATGAGCGCATGCCGGCCGGACAGCAGGCCCGAACTGTAGCCTCCAGATTCCAGTGAGGCCATGATGCCATTGTGAACACCCAGCAGGCTGTGCACGTCGCTGTGTGCATTCAGGCCTGGAGAGGGGCCCACCGCATGGCTCCGCAGCACATGGATCGCATCATCCAACCGCTCCAGCCGGTCCTCGATACGTGCCTGCTGCAAAATCACACGCCAACAGCACGGCTTAGGATGCACTGCGTGTGATATAGAACCATGCTTTAAAACATGGATTCATCTCATTCCACATGTGAAGGTATTTTCCACGAGTTATGAATGACCAGAATACAGTAATTAACTGGTTTGCACATATGTCTGTCACAAATATATAACTTGAATAAAACAAAGGCATTTCCCACTTGGTAAATAGATATAAAGCAAGTAAACAATTCAAAATCTACTGAAATTACTGACAAAAAACAGTAACTACTTCATTGGGGACAATCTCATTTTGGTCATGGCTGAATCTATTAAAGTGGCATTCTTAGTGGAAAGTTAATCATGGAAATTATTTTTTCTTATTTAATTATTAGTATTGAATTGGACCAAAACTGGACCAAAAGTGAAAAAAAAAACAGGCTAAGGATTGTTTTGTTTTTGTTTACCTAATTTCTTGTTGGGTTCTAATGTTAAAATGAATTTACGTAATTTCCGGACTATGAGCTGCTACTTTATTCTTTCAACCCTGAAGCTTCTATAGCAACGCAGTTAATCTGTGTTTTTTTTCATGGAGTTGTCCAAGCAGAAGTTTATAGACTTTATTTTTACCGCATTTATAAGTTTTATAAGCAGGACAATTGCTTATTGTCAACACAGACTGGAAAACAAGTACAGGCATGGAAGCTAACGGCTAAAGTAAGTAAGCAAGTAAGTAATCTTTATTTATATACCGCTTTTCACAGACCAGAGTCACAAAGCGGTTTACAATTGTTATTATTTTTGGGCACTTGTCCTCTCACTCCACACAGAGATGGGAGTTAAACACCTTGTCAGCGAATCATACTGGGATTAGTTAAAGCAATCGACTTACATGAAAACCTGCAGCGTTGCTGCTTATATACAGGTGCACTTTATAGTCCAGAAAGTGTGGTAAATTATATGGTTGTTTTCTTGAGAAAATTTGTTTCAAAATGAGGTTTCATCGATTTTACACACATAACTGGGACAAAAATGTAATCATGTTGCACTCTCCATGGCCTCGCACCAAAATATATTAGTGACATGTTAGTCCCATATGAACCAGCTCGGACTCTGAGGAGCACAGGGACTGGACTCCTGTTAGTGCCCAGAGTCAGGACTAAACATGGGGAGGCTTCTTTTCAGATTCATGCTGCTAAAATCTGGAACAATCTTCCTGAAGATGTGAGACAGGCCTCCTCAATGACAATGTTTAAAACCAGGTTAAAAACAGTTCTGTTTAGCTGTGCATACAACTGAGTGATTTTATATTTTTATCTTTCTTTTTAATGTTCTGTGATTATTTATGATTTTAATGCTTTCTTGTTTTGTTCAGCACTTTGAATTGCCTTGTGTATGAATTGTGCTATACAAATAAACTTGCCTTGCCTTGCCTTACATTTTTACTGTTGTACTCATGCACATGTATTCCAACGTGGTTGGACAGCAAATGGCAAATAAACGGAATCTGAATCTAACCAGCCATGGGTGTCGGAGTTTATCAATAAACCTTACAGAATCACCTTCCTGTCTTCTTTCTGACTAAAATAAGCACAAATAAAACTTAATATTTGTTATTTAAATTTGTACAGCGTGTGGATTATATGTTAGAAAATATGTTTTGGAGTAGGGATTCGCACATCAAAAACCTTCAGAACGGGTGCGTTGGAGAGGAGGAGAGGAGGCCTGTAGAGCCTAAAGTCAGAGAGAGAAGAATCCCGCACACCGTCTTACTTGCAAATAAAAATTATTTATTTAAAGAGCTGCGACGTTTCTGCGTTATGCCTTCATCAAGCAAACATGAGAAGAGCACCAGGAAGTTCTCTTAAATAGGGTGGGGCAGGCATCTAAGGGTGCACAGTCAACCACACCCACAATACCCACAATAGAAAATATGTTTTCCCATCTTATTGCTTAGGTAAGTGTCTACTTTGGTATTCACATGGTCTGTACCAGGGAGTGTAGTGGTGCATCGTAGTTGGGCGATGAAGCTCCTTGTCCTCCATTTCTGGACCACGCTGCTGAGTTTGGCGCTGCAGGACACAAGAGACCAACACACAAGTTCAGTTTACAGAAAACTGTAATAACAACTGGCCTGAGGACGATAGTGGCCTGGGTGGTAAAATACTCCTTTTGAATGTATGTTAAAAAGTGCTATATTGAAGTTAATTTTTACACTATCTGTACTGTACTTAAATCAGGAGAACCTAATCTTTAAGCCATAATAACTATGTAATAAATTCATCTCGGCCCAAGCATGATTCTTTGGCCTTTGTTCTCAATTCATCTCCAGCCTCCAGGTTCTCCTGGAGGAGAACCTCCAGTGAAGAGTTTCCCACTGGGGAATCAAGGAGGTCTAAGGACAGGGGACGCTCTTTAGACCAATGATTAATGTTTAAAATATTAGATTTTCTTATCTGTTAATGGTAAATTAGCAGTTTACACAAAGTATTTTGTGTTAATTAAAGTGAAAGCACATTTGACGGAAATTAATTTTAAACAATGACAATGTATTATAATCTAATTAGAATCATTAGAATTAGATTAGGTGTCAATAACTTGCCAAAACTCTGGCATGACTCGGCATGTCCAATGTGGGATGAAGTCCTCAAAACAGGCAATGCAAAAAGAAATATCATTGTCAATGCATGAAAACATTAAAATGGATCAACTTTAGAAATATGATACCATAAAATCACACCCAGGCACACTAAAAACATACAACATGATGGGTCTTACCTGTGAGTGTAGGCGGGGATCCGACTGGTGTGGAATGGTTTGACGAGAAGCTGTTGTTTGTGTGGTCTGGAGAATAAATCTGTAGATGGATCAGAAAAAAGCATAATGTTTAGATTCGGGATGCACCGATTGTGACACTTTGGGCCTATACCAATACTGATGTTTAACTTAACAACTTGGCCAATGGCCAATGTTTTTAGGCCCGAGCCCCAACAAGGGTATAGGGGCCTATTGATTTCGCAATAATAATACCTGGGCATTACTCATTATTGTGTTCTCGTCGATCACCAAGAACACAATAGTTGCGTTCGTCCGCTCGTTCGCTTTAAAACAGTGTAACATTTGTATTATACATTAGCTGGGAAACCTATATTGTTTTTCAAAGACTTATGGAACAAAAAATCCCAAGCCCCAACAGGGGTAAGGCCCCATTGCTTTAGAGTAATGCCTGTAACTGTCATAAGTCACAATGTCTGGGCACAGTGACCTCATGATGGCGAAGTAAGCAAGTAATGTTTATTTATATAGCGCATTTTACAGACCAAGGTCACCCAAAGCGCTTTACAATGTTCAGATATTGTTCCAATCATTCCACACACGGTGATAGTACTAATAATGCATTGGTTTTACATAGCGCTTCTGTGGATACTCAAAGACGCTTTACATGTCATTATTCATTCACTCCATACACGGTGGTGATAAACTATGTAGCCACAGCTGCCCTGGGGCACACTAACAGAAGCGAGGCAACCAGTCTGTGCCATCGGCCCCTCCGAGCACCACCAACCATTCACACACACCAGACTCATTCTAGACAATGGGGGTGAAGTGTCTTGCCTAAGGATACAACGGTTGTTCGGCACTGTAGTTCACCCCACTGTGGCTGGTGTTCCCAGAGGTTAAGTGTCTTGCCAAGGACACTACGACAGCAGACAGTGGGAGTCAATGGTGAAGGTCGGGCTCAAACCCATGACCTTCTGCATCAAAGGCCAATGCTCTACCAACTGAGCTACTGCTGTGATGACGGAAGCGAGTCGCCAAACACACTGGCGCATCAGCCCCCAATCAACACCATCCATTCACTCTCTCTTATACATTCATACCTATTTGTGTGTGATAGTAAGTAAGTTAGTAAGTAAGTAAGTAAGTTTTTATTTATATACCGCCTTTTCACTGCAGATCTGAGTCTCAAAGCGGTTTACAATTGTTAATTTTTTTGGGCATTTGTCTTTCACTCCACACAGAGATGGGAGCGGGGTCGCCAGTACAGGAGGCGCATGCCAGAACTATTGGACATATTTTTAGTGGTAGGGGAAACCGGAGTACCCGGAGGAAACCTACGCAGACACGGGGAGAACATGCAAACTCCACTCAGAAAGGCCCTGGTCCGACCGGGATTCGAACCCAGGACCTTCTTGCTGAGAGGCGAGAGTGCTATCCACTCAGCATCAATCACCCCACTAGATCAATCACTAGACTAGCCTAGCCGTGGCTGCTGCTGCTGTCTCGCCTCCTTTCAGATACGCTCTCTTTATTCAAGGCTAGGTTTAAAACAGTCCTCTTTAGTTTAGCATATGGCTAGGAAGGTAAGACTCAGGGAAGGCTAAACTCCTCAGACTGTCAGTCAAGCTGCATAGGGAGTCAGTTTGCTGGGAGAAGTATGGTAACTTGAGCACTATCCTCTCCTCCTTCCTACTGTTTAGCATTATTAGGATTTTGACTGTAGTTTGTTCATTGCTATTCACCCGTTGTCCCATTGTCTGTTTCATGGTACGATGACGGGATCTCTGAGCCTGGCCTCCTCCATCTACACCTGCGGACTGCCCCGCCCGACCCGCCTGGGAGTGCTTCAGTCCTGCACCGGACCTGTCCACGTTCAGCGGCCACTGGTCCACGTTCTGTAGCTAGCTTAGGTCCTAGATCATTAGCCTGTCCGTCCGGAGGAGCGGATCCCTTTCTCAAATGGGTCTCCCTCCCTGTGGGTTTCCCTAGTCTTTCCCTAGTTTTTCCTTGTCGATGCAGGAGGGTCTTGTTGGACAGTTAGTGTCCAACAGAAAGGATTGGTGATGATCAGGACACTTTAGCATTCTACAACATGTATGGACATTTTCTTCTGTGTGTGCTTTATATTTTTCATGTGTTTTAACTGTTGATTCTCTGATCTGTGTTGGTGATTTCAATGGATTTGTTAAGTCCTCTGAGATTACTTCTGTTGTGACCTAGGGCTATACAAGAATAAATTGTATTGTATTGTATTGTAAACGTGTGTCTGTGGTTCTAAAGTCTAAAACATGATGGTATGTGCATATCTATATCTTTTACTAAACATAGTTGGAGTGAAACATGGATTCATCATTCAATGACAGTTGTTGTGTTTTCTGCTGAATACTGGGTTGAAACTCGTAAAACTGGTTTTAGTTGGAGCTTGATGGAACAAATTTCGGGTGGCATTATGGAACTCGCGCTGGTGTCTTCTCTCAGTTTGTTTGGACCGTTGCCGTCTCTGAATAAGTCAAAGATGTAGGGACTGCTCTTTACACTCTTCTTTCGGTAACTTTCATTGCTGCATCCAGGGGGCATGTAAAATACACCTATTTTAAGGAAATTCTTGTTCTTTTTTCTCTACTGTCTTATTTGTGTCACAGCAGAAGCAGAGTCGTATACACTTAAGCGAGAGCTTCGACCCCTACAACTACGTCATCAATGTTCTGACCAATCAGAGGCGTTCATATTTAAATTTATTTTACTGATTTATTAGTTATCTATAGCATAAAAACACATTGCTGTGGTGGGAAACGCATGTTTGTAATCTGTTTTATATCTAAAAAAAATGTTTTTAATAAGTATAGTTCCCTTTTAAAGTGATGGTCTGGAACTCTAAATGAATTACACATTTTAAGAATTTTATTAAATTGACCTCCTGGCCTTGAATGTTGAAAAAAGTAAAATAAAATAAGTCATTTTATGAGTTATAATCATGGATCTATAATAATAACTAGATAGGGTATTACTAGCTTATAGCTGTTCCACCCACGGGAACAGGGGGCGCCCGTGGTATGCAGACTAAATTCACATGTGCTACTCAGAAAAAAGTCCCATAGAACTCAATGTAAACTAAAACAGCTCGACCTCAGCTGACAGAGAACCTACAGCTGTCATAAAGGTCAGATTTTGTGGGGATTTTAGTGTCCCTTGTCATCCTGAACTTTTTTTCTTCTTAAATCCTTCGGTTTTCTTTAAATCCACACTTTACTGCCACAAACGCTGCTCGTTTCCTTCCCGCTCTGACTCAGCTCTGCCACTGCTCTGATCAGCCGCTCTGATTGGTCCAAACGCGGCCGAGCCCCTCTGTGCACGTGCATGACAGACACACACGCATATTTGGCGCAACGCATCATGGGAGCTCGTCCACTGCGCAGAACCGGGAGGACCAGACGATGCCCAAATATAGGCGAGTTCTGCTAATCTCCCGGTCCCTGTGAAGTCCCATGTGCTACGGAGTACAAGCCATTCATTTGAATAGGGTGCCATCTTGGATCACCGGGGCTTGGTTATAATATTACGGGTAAGTCCCGTCTTCCCTTATTTTAGCTATTGCTTAAAATCCACGATGCAGTCCACTTTAACCAATCAATTGATACCAAGGGCTGTCAATCATGACGCTTGTGCTTGTCCATCCATCCAGGAGGTGGCAGTCAGAGCTGCACCCAGTTCACAGAGCACCAGCCCCTCACTGAGCCTCCTGCAGGTGGTGAGTCCACAGGAGCTTTGATTATGCAGCAGGGGCTTCAGGCAAAGTGGGGTTAAGTGTCTTGCCCAAGGAAACATCAATGGGAGTAATGTAGTAGGTCTTACGGTGGGCTAAAACCCACGACCTTCAGGCTCTAAGACCAATGCTCCACCAACTGAGCCACTGTCGCCCGCTCGTGCTTGTATATAATTCAAATGTTAAATATATTAGGGCTGTCAAAATTATTGCGTTAACGCACGTCATATTTTTTTCATTAATCGCGTTAAAGAAATCAACGCATTGACGCATGTACGGAATGACCCGCCCATGTATCCCATAATAACACTAAGAATGCCGCAGACACATGCGAGTGATGGCGACAGAGCAGGTCTCTGGGAATTCGAGCTTTAAAAGAAAATGCGTGTGACCGTGGGCACTTGCTGCTGTTTACTGTATGAACTGAAGTCTGCATCCTCCGTGGCCGCAGCGCTCTGACTTGGGGCAGCAGCTGTCGCTTTGACAATAACACGGTGAACGGCATCGCCGTAACGTCACGCGCACAGGACTATTCTCTGCTTGTTGTTTGCGTAACCTGTGCATGCAATAAATACATCTCTGAAGCAGGACTACGAAGCCTCAGTCTTCTCCGTGTCTCCTTCCGAAGCGTACTCGCTAAATTAAAGCTGGGATACCTAATTTTTCCCTTCTACAACTATTCCATGTTGGTTGTGCCCAAAAGTAAAATGTTGTGAATCAAACAGATTTAATGAGATTCTGCCTCAGACTGTTTTGAAATGTCCATCATCTGTAAGAAACAATAGTTTTGGTTTGAGTCTAAACAGAAAGACAGAATGTTGATAATGTTAATGCCATTTTATGTGGATTATTGTTGTTATAATAAACAAATACAGTACATATGTACACTATGTATTTATCTTTCCATTAAAACAACCATTTACAGAGAAATATGGCATGATTTTGCCAATAGTTCGAAATGCGATTAATTATGACATTATGAATATTACATTGTTGCCATTCAGATATTATTATTGCAGTACTTACTGAAGCAAGTGCTTTCCCTAAGGCATCTCCGGTTTGAGAGCTGCTGGCTGCTCTGCTCTGGGTCCGAGTCACTGAAACAAAGGTGTGAGTTATAGTTTGTGCTGCTGAAGGACACATTGTTTCTTGGGTGATTATTTGTACCCATGCTGGAGTCTGTCCCGTTGGTGCTGGCGCTACAGGCTGCGGTACTGTAGTGGCTGCCTCCTGAACCGGGGCCATTCCCTCTATGGAAGCTGGTCATTGGGGGTAGACTGGAGCTGAGCTCTGCTGACGAGTGAGGGGGGTAACTCTGACGATAACAACTCAAGTCACATTTCTTGCTTATTGTATGCCTAAAAGCAGTTACAATGATGTGAAAAATTAAAGGCCGCCTTCTGGCATTCATCTTTTTTGTCTTTTCTCACAAATACCAAGAAATTACTTTAGGAGAAATGTTCTGACAACATTTTAATCAGATCTGGATCATGAACAATTGACAGAAAGAACCTCTGTATACTGCATTAGAGCTTCAAATTATTGGACAATGTGTAATATGCAATAGAGGTGCCAGGGATGATATAGAGATGATAACAGTGATGTAAAGTCGCCAGAGTGAGACCTCTTTATCTGTATGGATTGTTTTGTGTTTTGGGACTGCCAATGTTTTGTGTTTTCGATTGATGATCTATGTCTTTGTTTTTTCCACTTTGCTCCTGTCGTTTCTCTCGAAACCATTGTGTCACATTTCAGATCTGTGTGTTTTTAGCAACATGTTTTTAAGTACTCAGGGGTTCACTTGAGTTTGTGCACTCACTCTGGCCAATTATAAAAACCTACAGTATTTGTTGAAGTGAAGAACTTAGATTACTGGACTTGATTTAATTTTAAAACTGCTCAGATGATATACTCTCTAATAATAACTCTCTGCACCTTATATACAAGACTTACTCCATGATGGAGTTGGACACCATAAGAAGAAAAAATACACAAAATGAATTTGCCTATATTAGAACCACCTATCAATGTGTATCTCAGTGTGTGTACAATCTAATTTTGAATTGAAATGTATGTACACATATACAGTATATGTACATACAGTACATACAGAAATATATATATATATATATATAATATATATAATATATATATATATAAATATTTATGTATAATCACACATACACTTCTTTCTTTACCCCCTTTACATTTAATATTGATTCAAATTTAGAAAGGATAACAAAGACTAATAATAACTCTTGGTGCTGCTTAGTATTCATGCCACACAGGATTGAAATGGTTTCTTCTTTCCAATTTTGTATTTGACTTCAATTGTGTGATAGAGATAATATAAATTTATACATTTAAAAAAAGAAGAAATAAATATAAAAAGGAGAAGCCTTCAGGAAAGCGGCATATACTTTTTCACAACACTGTGGCTGCAATGGACTGGAAAACAAAACATATTCAGTGTTCACCAATCTCTCGTGAGGATGAATCCCACAGTAGGAGGAGCTTTGGGATGAGGTGTGGCCTGAGGATCCACCTCCAAGCATGTTTCCATGGTAACTGCCATGTTGGGGCACACTGCTACTGCTGCTGCTGCTGTTCCAGGGGTCACTGGTATGGTGACCATCTGACAAAAAGAACATCATCAAAGGACATGCACACAATTTTGATAACAAAATTACTCGGGTTTATTAGTTGGAATTAGGGCCAGGACTTTAATGCGTTAATTAAGATTAATTAATTACACAAAAATTAACGTGTACATTTTTTTAACGCATTTGAATCATATTCGTTTTTGCACCGCGGAACGTTCCTCACTGGATGAGTTTCAGGCTATATCCACACGAAGACAAAACGCTTATAATTTCAGAAACTTTTTCTGTAAACACGGAGTTAGCTCAGTAAATGTGTGCGTCCATATGAATGTAGTCAATACGCCTGAAAACGTTGTGAAACTATGCCAGACCTGTTGGTGGCGCTGTGACGCAATGACGGGATCAAGCCCAAACTTCCGTGGGCATGCGCGAAATTTTGTAAACAGACAACATGGCGAGTGGGCGAGCTGGTACTACATTAGTATGGACGGACGATGAGGTTGAACTGTTGCTTCGGGTCACACTGGATTACAAAACCAACAAGCTACATTGTTGTTGTCATTATTTTCTGAGTGCGGCGCATGCGTGCTTTAACAAGAGGCGGGGCGATGACGCAAGCGTCTCAGATACATTGCGGAGAGGCAGTGACCACGGAGCGGCATATACGGAGTTTTGAAATCTTTCCACTCTGGGACCTAGTTTCAAAAATGTTCGTTTACACCCCCCCAAAACGCCGGCCTCGTATGGACGATACACTGGATTGATAAAGTATTTTTGCGTTTAGGCCTGAGCTTGACTTCGTGTGGACAGGGCCTCAGACTGTTTCCGATTGTACTGGAGCACCAACTGGAGCTCCCTGACTTTTTTTGTTCAAAAGTACATTATTTCAAGCATAGACCAACTTTAGCGGTGTCTAAGCCTATATCCACACAAAGACAAAACGCTTATAATTTCAGAAACTTTTTCTGTAAACACGGAGTTAGCTCAGTAAATGTGTGCGTCCATATGAATGTAGTCAATACGCCTGAAAACGCTGTGAAACTATGCCAGACCTGTTGGTGGCGCTGTGACGCAATGACGGGATCAAGCCCAAACTTCCGTGACGGGAATTGGGCATGCGCAGAATTTTGTAAACAGACAACATAGCGAGTGGGCGAGCTGGTACTACATTAGTATGGACGGACGATGAGGTTGAACTGTTGCTTCGGGTCACACTGGATTACAAAACCAACAAGCTACAAGAAAGTGTCATTATTTTCTGAGTGCGGCGCATGCGTGCTTTAACAAGAGGCGGGGCGATGACACAAGCGTCTCAGATACATTGTGGAGAGGCAGTAACCACGGAGCGGCATATACGGAGTTTTGAAATCTTTCCACTCTGGGACCTACTTTCAAAAATGTTCGTTTACACCCCCCCAAAACGCCGGCCTCGTATGGACGATACACTGGATTGATAAAGTATTTTTGCGTTTAGGCCTGAGCTTGACTTCGTGTGGACAGGGCCTAAATCCCAGTGAGTTAAAGACGGGAATGAATGCTGTGTATGGAGCGATGGACACTCTTCTGTGCGTGAGGAGGAGGAGCAGTGACTCCTGTGTGTGAGCGGAGAAGGAGGAAGAGGAGAAGGAGCGAGACACGGGTGTGTGAGCTGCTATTGCTGATGTATAGTGCTCACTGCGAGTGCAGTAGATTTTGGGCATAAAAGCGTAGGTTGTGGTCAGAGAGTGCGGAGGAGGAGGAGGAGCATATGTTGTGTTCAGAGTGTGTGGAGGAGGAGGAGGAGCATATGTTGTGGTCAGAGTGTGTGGAGGAGGAGGAGCATATGTTGTGTTCAGAGTGTGTGGAGGCGATGACAGAGACATTATTTGATGGGAAAGAAGTCCGTCTGATCCCCGTATCATCCACAATGAACATGTGTTGCTTAAGCTTATGTATTCAGTCATTATTCAATGGCATACTATAAATCCATGTGAAGAACAAAAAATGTTCAGTGTTCTCAGGTCAAATATTAAATTAATTAATTAAAAAGCCTCTAATTTATTAGATTTTTTTTCATCGAGTCCTTGCCCTAGTTGGAATATAAAATAACATACCTCTGACTGCTCTATTTTGATAATATATGATTTATGTTATATTTAGTAAATGTCAATAGTAATTTAATGATAATGAAAACAAATTACTCTCACTCTGAGCTTTGCCATTCACTTGATGGTATTGTGTCGTCAAATCAAGTTAGTGATCAGCTGATTATTTTTCAAGACGTGTCTTAATTATTCTAAAAATATTTTTGATTGCATAAATAACTTTGGCAAAAATACATTATTGTGCAATTTTCAAGCGAATTTCAAGTGAATTGATAAATCGCAACTAATCCATTATTTCAATAATTGACAACTAATTATTTAATTGGTTAATTGTTATTTGAACCATAAACATGTTAAGGAGGCAGGTTTTACGACTCTGACAATTAATCTAAAGCTGAGGTTCAGACTGTAAACTCTGCACTGCCAATTCTCACCGGGCAATAGCTACGCACCGCCCTGCATCACCGCACTCTTATGTCATGCAGAAGGCTTTTGTCTTACAATGTAGAAACAGCTCTGTATACACGCCGTAGTCTGAAGATATGTCATAGCATTGCAAGTTTGTAAGCTGAGAATTTAGACAAAAGGGGCCTGTGGTGTGTACATGATATTAGCTTGAGCTGAAAGCAACTTAATAAGTTGAGTAAGGCTGATTTGAAAATTGCTAATTATATTCTAATTTTGATGTTGTATCCTTGCAGCCCGAATTAAGTGTTTTACCTGGCATAAAAAAAGAACCTGGGAAGCTGGAGCTGGGAGGCTTAGAGCCGGGATATCCTGGCGAGTCCCTGTTGTAGTCGGCTGAACTGGCAGATGGAGCGTACACCTGCAAACAAAGCACAGCCTTCAGTCTGACAACTGAAATGTAATGAATCAGAAATTGTCTCACACTGGTCAAATACGCAGTGCAAAACTGGTCAAATGCACAGTGCAAAACAGTATTTATTGACAAAACAAACAATCTTCAGGTTGACAGATTTTTGAAGAAAGAATTACGCAAAGGACTGCCAAAATAGGATAGGGCTCTATCATGTGACTGGTGGTGGTGATATTATGGATGGACAAGACAGACCTTTTTGACACATTTGGCAGTTGCCGCTTTCCTCGTTGTGTTGCATAATTAAAATGTTGTATACTAATGATTTTGAAAATAGGCCCTCTGAAGAAGGTGCACGGGGAAAAGCCCCAAGGACAAAGGAATATGCACTCAGGAATCATAGAGATGACCAGCTTTCAAAACGGGACAAATTATTAACTCCAGGAATAAACAAATGCTCTCTCCCACTCTGGACGAGGGCAAAAGTCCAACACAATCAGGCGCCCAGTGGTGGGGGGCATTGTTTGCTCAGGTGGAGAGGGAAGACCAAGACCGGGTCCAGACCAGGGGCCAAACCAGTCCCAGACTGTGACGTCATCGGACCCTTTGATAGAAACTGCTGGGAGGAGATTGGCAGTCAGTCAGCCGAGGGCCAGGAGAGAGGGACATATATAGTTTTAGGAGCACTTTTTGTTGAACATTCTGTATCTGATTGTAAAGATAATTAAATGCAGATGTTAAACGTGAAGATCTCTTGTCTCGCTCTTGCATCGATTTTGGATACGTCAGTCAAAGGGAATTATTGACTTCATTTTGGTGACCCCGACGTGATCGGGGCAGGAGCGGGACAGAGATGAGCTCAGTTATAGAGACTGGATTTGTGGGTTTGGAAAAATCTCTCTGCTCTTCAAAAAGGTCGCTTCTAAGGTAAGCGGATCACAGTTTTGGAAATCTGCACATTGTTTTAAATAGAAGAGAGAGAGATTTTGGCTCGACAGATTGCAGCGTGGCCAGGCGACCGCCGTGACGGGGCGTTCTATCGGACGCGATAGAACAATAGTCAGGTTTAGACGTTTTAACCTTGGGGGAAGCATGGGTCCCTCCAAAGAAAACAGAACAGATGATGAAAAGAGCCACAGGATTTATAAGTGCAAAAGAGGCACACCTTCGTGCAGAGAGGCACAAGGGAATTAGTGAAAAAATAGGAATAGAATTAGAGAGATAGGGATAGTTAGGGTCAGAAGTTATAGGATAATAAAAACTCCATATCCCCCGGGGGTGGGGAAAAGGGCACAATTAATTTAAACAGAAGAAAAGCCAAGTATTTAAAATGTGGATTCTGATAATAATGATCTGATTAATGAGGAAAAAGAGAGCCTCTTGGCTGTAGTATACGAGTTTCATGTGAAGAAATGACAAAAGATCAGTCTGGGAGTTTTTCTCTTGTATTCTGATGTAATGTTTCGATAGTTACAGAGAATCAGAAAAAAAAAAAAGATTCTGCTGGAACTCTCGATACATTAATTATGTAGCAAATGGTAATGTTTTCCATTACTGACGTATTTAAGGATAAAATGTAAAGTGTCGTTTGACGTGAGAAAAACTTTTACCACTGATTTAGAACCTTGTCACGAGAAAAACGAGAAAAGTATTTGACTCCATGCTTCCTTTGTTCGGGAGGCCCCTCCCCTCCCTCGTTCTGTCCTCTCTCTCTCCCCCTCTCTCTCTCTCTCTCTCTCTCTCTCTCTCTCTCGTGAAGAAAGAATTTTTTGTAGAAAATTACATTTATACACACGATAATGTTACTGACATGGAGTCATAGGATCACAGAACTTTGAGTTAGATTATAAAGAGGCATTATTTTATTTTTTATCTCCAAGGCGTCTAGACAAGTTTTTTTTCCCTACATTTTGGTGATATAAAAGTTAGAATGATCTTAGAGAGCATTATACTTTTGGAAAAATAGGGCTTAGGATAGTAGTTGAATGCAGATTTGGTTTTCAGAATTTAATGTTTAAAATGTTAATAGTAATTATTTCATAGGTTTATTTTGAATTGTAATTAATCATTGGTTTGGTATGGTAATTAACACACTTGTTTGTGTTTCTTGTTTGTCTGTTTTTTCCGAGAAAACTTCTGTCTGTTTCATTTGGCCAAAAATCGTCCCTGCCACAAACCACAACCGAGCATCATCATCATCATCAGCGTCTCCCCCTCTCCCTGCGGGTCGCAGGGGGCAGCATCGGCTGCAGCAGCTAACAGGAACTCTCGAAGAATACTTCTCCTGCCTGTGAGGAGGCAAAGAAAAGACCGCAGACTTTTTCACAAACTGAGTGTTGTCCCATCTGCGGAACAGAAGGTGGCGGTAATGCGAAGAATAGGCCGCCAACCGCCGGAAAACCAAACAAGAAGAAGAAGGACACGACACATTTGGGTGCGTCAGATATGAAAGAAGAAGAAAGACATTATGAGGAAAAGTTATCGGAAGAAGAAAGAAAGTGATTGTTGAAAGTGATTGTTGAAAGAAGAAGAAAAAAGACATGGAGACAAAGACATTGGACACTATGAGACAAAAGACATTGAAAGACGCCATGAGTAAAAGAAAGACATTAACGGACATTTGAGACGTGGCTGGCCTAAATGAGACACACAGAAGGTAAATATACAGACAGACAACAAACAGAGACATATTAAGACATATTTACACATTTAGCTAGGTCATTCGTTCATAACACCACATTTAGCTGCATGAAAGAATACAGGACAATCGTTAAAATTAATTCGACTCTTGCTTTAGCATGAGACACAAGGAGATTAGAACAGCAGTATATTTAAAGTAGAGGAGCTCTATTATTGAAACTAGTATTATTTAAAGTTATAGACGCGGAGAAGTTTAGAATTATTGATTTTAACTGCATGATCTTGGTAATACGGATATTTAAAGCAGTGTTTTCAACCTCTGAACCGTGGCTCGTTTCTCATTTAAGAACAATCACATGCACAGTTGAAACTGGTGCTAGAAAGAGAACTGCAGCTTTTAATGGACGTTGCATTTAGTACAAAATGGTTTGTTCAGACAATTAAAGTTTGAAAAATGATTTAAAGCATTTCTGAATTTTGGCTAAAGGTGATATTGGATCATTTCTGATAACACATAGACGCAACACTGTTCATTGGTTGAAAACAAAGATGTAGGGACATTTTTTGAAATCTTTTATGACATGTTTCTCTTCCAAATAGCTAAATTAGAAACAATTAGGACAATTATGTCTTTGATATAACTGTTGGCAGTTTATCTGAGACATGATTGGCGCAAGTACACACACATAAAACAATGGTCTTTTCTCCACATGAACGTGAAACAAAGGTGAAGTATTAAAGTTTGAAACTAATTTACATTTTTAAGGAATCCGAACTGGCTTTAAAAAAAAAAAGGGAAAAACATTTATTGCACGTGCATGAGTTTTTTTTTAAGTAACAAGAGCTCATTAAAAATATAGGGGACACAGTTTGTGACAAGCCCGAGTAAAGACCACGTGGTTTAAACACTAAAGTTTGAAATGGATCCTTTTAGGAAAAATCTCTCAAAGCTTTGCATGTTCTGCAGGCTCTGAAAGTTGCAACTATAAAATAGCTCATGAGACAATTGTAATTGGACATGGAAAAATATAACAAAGTTAAAATTACAGGCCTCTTGTGTTGTCTATATGTTTGTGTATGTTATATGTTTGTGTATGTTATATGTTTGTGCGTCATGTCCAATACACTACGTTGACCTTAACAAACTGGACCAATACTAACGTCGGCCTGTGTGAGTGGGATGTGAGTGTGATGTGAAATGAGGAGTGGACGAGGAGTGCTGAACGGAGAATGGAATAACAAAAGTTTTCTGTAATGTTTTAATGTGATCATGGAATAATTATTTTTTGTCAACAGCATACGGTGTAAGTACTAGAGATTCAAAGATGACAAGCTTTATTGAACAGGTGTAAAAGTGAGAGTACTCTGGGATGAGTACTCTGAGAAAAGTACTCTGAGAAAGTACTCTGAGATGAATACCTTGCTGAAGGTACTGGGAGCCCCTCCCTCTGCTGTTTGTCCGGACAGGGATTCGGTCCAACCGCAGTGAGCGGTCATTGGGCGGAGGACAACTTTGGTTTGTAATTCACATTTAGGGGAGTATAAAATTAGAAACATACATATTGTTAAGTCTGTATTTCAATTTGGAGAGACGAGAAACGAAAATGGTTTTGAGTATTTATTGAGGTGGTTTGGCGCCCTAGGCCCCGGTGCGGCCTTCAGATCGGAGAGGCTCCTGCGATGGAGCGCGTACAATCCCCCGGGACCTAGGCACTGGTGGCGGCATTTTGGCAGATTGGAGGCAGATTGGAGGCAGATTGGAGGCAGATTGGAGGCAGATTGGAGGCAGATTGGAGGCAGATTGGAGGCAGATTGGAGGCAGATTGGAGGCAGATTGGAGGCAGATTGGAGGCAGATTGGAGGCAGATTGGAGGCAGATTGGAGCAGGGTGAAGAGGAGGAGGAGGGGAGGCGGTGGTTGCGAGGCTTCGAGAAGGCAGAAAGTGAGAGTTGCTCCGCTTTTAAGCGGCTGCCTGTCCGGCACGGATGATTGGAAGGGGGCGTTTTTTCTCTTTTCTCATGCCGAGCGATAGGCTGGGGAAGCGAACCGGCCTGGAGGGGGTAGCTTTTGCTGACGTCTACCAAATTGAATTTTCGCGAGCTACATTTCAATTTGGAGAGACGAGAAACGAAAATGGTTTTGAGTATTTATTGAGGTGGTTTGGCGCCCTAGGCCCCGGTGCGGCCTTCAGATCGGAGAGGCTCCTGCGATGGAGCGCGTACAATCCCCAAAAAGCTGAGTGTGTTGATGGAGTTTTGCAGCCTGGTTTGCAGGAAACAGACGTCGTGGCTACTCTATGCTGTGACCGCTATCGCTATGCTGTGACCGCTATCGCTATGCTGTGACCGCTATCGCTATGCTGTGACCGC